TGTGGTCTGCAAGAGAATCAAACGCGCAAGTCACAAACAAGCCAAATGACCTATGGGAACCATGTGTGAGCGTACCCCGAGGCCCACTCTGTGTGTGCCGGGTCACAGGAGGCTGAGGCTTTAATAAAGGAGCAGGCCTGGTACAGGGATGCCAGTCTGATCGCCTGCGGACATGCAACCTGATGGAGTCCAGATGAGCGACACCGCACTGGACCTTTTACTCCAAAGGACGCACGTGTTCCGGACATATTTCATATTCTGCTTGGATTGGGTTTAAAAGGGCTCTTTGCAAATCACAGTAGAAGGCGTAAAGTGGGGTGTGCACGCACACAGCTACACACACACACACACACAGCGATTTTTAACTTGTTAACTGATTTTTTTTTTTTCCAGCACTAGTGACTTTACATATGACGGAAAAAAATCGGCACGTGTATCCTGTAGTGGCACACTCAACACAATGATATCCTCATCAAGTCTCCTGCCCCAAACCAGATGTCTCTTTTGCAGTACCGAGCCTGACCTGTGAGAGGCAGCATGATGCCACAGGGCATCAATTCAAAGCAGAGAAGTACGAGAAGAAGAAATACAAGAATACATGGCAACACATAGAAGCTGAAATCTGACTGGATAAAAGAAAAATCAGCATTTACGATGTAAGTCTTAAAAACTGGGCGGCCAAGATGCATGCTGTGAACCGATGATAAATTCTTGGAAATTAATTACCGTGATACAATTAATCCAAGCTGTAAATGTAGGTCAATGCTTCTGATTAGTGTTTGCTCCAGCAGAGAAGGCCTTGAAGGCCCCGAGTGTATTCAGAGCAGTTTTTTACCACCGCTGACATTATGCGTCTTTTTTTATGTACGGATTGCAAGTGAGAAAAAAAAAAAAAATCTTGCTTGCAGGGGAATGTGGGATTGACTTAAACGTGCTGAACATGGTGTACAACAACAGAGTTCAAGCGTGGAAATTCACCTTGTTCTGGTCGTGTGTCTCGACTTTTGCCGAGCCCCCTCAGCGTTCGCCCCTCCCCTTGGGTACGCTATCATTAAGCAGATGTTTTGCGGGGAACGGCCCCTTGCGCCTTGTTTCTTCGACTCCCAATCCACATGTGGTCTGCAAGAGAATCAAACGCGCAAGTCACAAACAAGCCAAATGACCTATGGGAACCATGTGTGAGCGTACCCCGAGGCCCACTCTGTGTGTGCCGGGTCACAGGAGGCTGAGGCTTTAATAAAGGAGCAGGCCTGGTACAGGGATGCCAGTCTGATCGCCTGCGGACATGCAACCTGATGGAGTCCAGATGAGCGACACCGCACTGGACCTTTTACTCCAAAGGACGCACGTGTTCCGGACATATTTCATATTCTGCTTGGATTGGGTTTAAAAGGGCTCTTTGCAAATCACAGTAGAAGGCGTAAAGTGGGGTGTGCACGCACACAGCTACACACACACACACACACAGCGATTTTTAACTTGTTAACTGATTTTTTTTTTTTCCAGCACTAGTGACTTTACATATGACGGAAAAAAATCGGCACGTGTATCCTGTAGTGGCACACTCAACACAATGATATCCTCATCAAGTCTCCTGCCCCAAACCAGATGTCTCTTTTGCAGTACCGAGCCTGACCTGTGAGAGGCAGCATGATGCCACAGGGCATCAATTCAAAGCAGAGAAGTATGAGAAGAAGAAATACAAGAATGTAGGCGAAATGATAGCTTAGTTGGCAGCTAAACTGCAGTTTCCACACTCTTCCTTTCGCCATTTTTATTGTGGTGAGTAAAATGGGAAACACGTTATACCAGGGGAGTCGTATCGATGGAACCACAAAACCGGTACATGTATAATACATGTATAATCACCAAGGTTATTATAGTAAACTAAAAATGAAGTTGAAAAAAAAATTCTTAAGAGAAATAAGATAATGAAAATGTGTTTTAAGAAAACACATTACGTTTATAAAACGAATTAAAATTACCTATAATTACAGCAAAACTTGCCTTTGTCAATTAATATCATGCATGAACGTTCATGGTCCATTTTAAATGTATTGATTTCGGAATTGCTGAACATCCATACCGAAGAAAGGAGGTTAAACAGTTGTTTAGAATTGTAGTTTACTTCATTACACTTTGTGACCTTTTTTCTTAGATTGTATTTAATAAATAATCCGTAGACTGCAAAAAAACTAAAACCAATAATAAAACTAATAAAAATAACATTAAAACAAAGCATTTTTTGAAAAATAAAAATAATAAAAACTGACACGTCTGCTCCAAAACCTACTTAATACTAACTGAATTTAAAAAAAGGAAATAAAAACTAGATCATTATCATTTTTATAGCTAGTTTTGAACACAAGTCAAGGAATAATTGTGGGAAACTTTCACTGGTCATATAAAATGAACTGGAGAGCCGGATGTGGGGCATGGGCCTCAAGTGTGACACCAGACTGATATATGCAACACAATCAGTTGCTTAATTTGTGCTGGGCAACAGCACGAGCTTCAGGTCCCTTCCGAATGGGGTATCGTTACGTTTCACACCACAATCGTAAAGACTGTGGCTCGGCCCGACTTGATGTTGACCATACAATTTAGGATTTTCCACCCAAAATAATGAACGACTTTAATTTCTACGATTGTCAGACCGACCACGAACTGAGCAGATCGGGGAGCAAAAATCACTCTTAACACACCCCAAACCACCAGATAATCACACAGGATTATCTTTCAGAGACAATCGATGGAAACTACTCCAATTTGGCCCAACACCGTCATTGCCTGTCAACCCGTAAAAATACCAATTTCTATATTTACCATTTTATTACATTTTAAACTCAGTGATACATGGATAATCTTATTTTTAAATACAGTAATATCAAAATCGACTCTTTATCTTTAGTTGGGCACTTACTATATCTTGCGTTGAGCAGCTAGCTGTTACCAGCTAGTTCGTTGTCAATTCCCGCCACTGGCAATGGCAATGGCAACGCTTACCTCGTATCATCTTGGGAAGTTCACCATTCTGCTTTCTCAACACTGCTGATCGCTGCCAAGACGGTTGGCGATTAAATGGTGGCCAACGCAAGCTACTCTTCCGCAAATAACTGTGCCTCAGAGCTAGCTAGCATGGCATTTGTACGCCATTTTGAGGCATTACAGAAAGAGCACAACAATAGGCCGATATGTGTTTTTCAGTGAAACGTTGCTCGTTAGGTAGGCAAATGGTTAGTTGCGAATGGAGATACAATAAGCGAATGAAGATACGTACCGAGGCCTTCATATTTTTTTCTGACGGTCATTATATGTAAATATTTAATGTGTCTCCAGCCGTTGTGTTATGTTGTCGGTGTGTCTGGTAACTTCCCAGGTTACAATTTCCTGCCTTACAATGATCAATGAATGTTTGTCACGTTATCTGGACAGGTTTATGTCACAGTGCCCTGCTGAGTGTCAGTTTCCACAGGACCAAGGAATTTACTTACAGGTCACACACGAGATCAAGTCATCAGTGCTTGGCCTTCCTCTGGCTAATGTAGCAACTTAACTTGCATTAACAGGAAGCATGTTATAATGCAAATTTCACTTGTTCTTGTTTCATGTTGTGCAGTTACTGGAATTTAGGAAAAATAAGGTCAATCCATGAAAAAAAAAGAGACACATGGACATTTTGTAACCCTCATTTTTGTTATTGCAAAATATGCTGGCAGCTGGTGGAGGGAGCGCAATTGAACCGATGCAGGAACACTTCTAAAGCAGTGTAAAAATAAATTGTGGTTGACATTATTATGGCATTCTCAAATGCTCCATTTACGACACTGACGTCAGCATAATATACGGCCGTATGGATGTGGCAAGCGTGTGGAAATATTTACCAAAAATGAGACCCATAGCATGTCTGTCCTCAAATACAATAAAAGCTATCCATCCATCCATTTTCTGAACTGCTTTATCTTCACAAGGGTCGCAGGGGTGCTGGAGCCTATCCCAGGCGTCTTCAGGCAGTAGGCAGGGGACACCCTGTACTGCTACCCAGCCAATCGCAGGGCACACACAGACGAACAACCATCCGTGCTCACACGCACACCTAGGGACAATTTAGAGTGTTCAATCAGCCTGTTTTTGGGAGGAAACCGGAGTACCCGGAGAAAACCCACACAGGCAGGGGAGAACATGCAAATGCACACAGAAAGGCCAGTGCTGGACTCGAACCGGGTACCTCTGCACTGTGAGGTCGATGCGCTAACCACTGGACTACCGGGCCGCCAGTTACTTATATTCCAATACAAAAGCATTTTGTTGTTCAACACTTATTGTGCAATCATGATCAGATGAAGCAACACATGGTGACAGGAGCTGGTGTTAGGTGATGTGCAAATGGGTGCTTGCTTCATGTAGTCGAGTGCAGTGTATGTGTGTGTGTGTATGTGTGTGTGTGTGTGTGTTTTGCTTTGCGTGTAAGACGCGCACATTTGCGCTCATAAATTTTGCCGCGGTGGCTCACAGTGACAGGTGCAATTGTTATGCAGCACGACGAGTACTACCACCAACATACACGACGCAGTCTGCTTTTGATATTTACGAGGTGACTTTAGGACGCCGATTACGACCTGGTCGGCTGTGCAAAATTAATTCTTCACCATATTTGGCCGTTATATATGTATACACACACACACACACACACACACACACACACACACTGTTTATTTTGGAACACTGGAAGCACACTGACCCAGTATTGTGTTACTCCTTCCATTACTGCTGACTAAGTCTTGGTGTCTGGCTTGAATGACAGCAGTGGGGGAGCATGAGGTGATGCTGTGTCATTCCGTGTCCTGTAATCTGGCGCAAAGAAAGCGGGAAGGAGAAATGTGGGCCAGATGAAACTGATCCCTGAACTTGAGCTCAGCGCTGCTCAGGCTGTTGTTACACATACCGCAGCATATTGGGCAACAACGGCCTTCCGAGTCACAGACGACAGAAAGCACCTGGGGTCTTTAATGGTCACATTTATTGCTGTGGAACCACATGCGTGACATTGGTATGTACAAGATCATACAAACAAAATAGCCATCCTTTGAGGGACCTGAGAGGGATGACCTGCAACGCCTCTTTGTCATTGGTCAATTTCACGTCAGAGGAGCACCTCAGTTCAACTACAGAGTTCTGCAGGTCACTTAACAGAAGCACAGTTGAAACTTTTTCCCCCACACATTGCCAACGCAACACTGAAAAGCACAATTATACTAAATGAGCCTGTTGTTGCTATTAACAATAAAAAAACAAAACAAAAAAAGGTAAAAATATCTTTATGTACATTCTGCTTGTATCAGTTGAAAATATAAAATGTCTTTTGCACATAAGAGAAAGCACCTAAAAGTAGCTATACATCAGTTAATTTATCAGCAAGTCAAAGTCAAATGCAGCACTCTCAAAATGCACCTTTTGCATCAAATGATGAATTGGTCAAAACATGTTCCGTTTTTCGTGGTGTCGTGTGTACACCAAACACTATACCAATAAGCACACATGCGTGTTACTTTGTCAATTCACAATTCAGAAATTGGTGAGGGTGTTAAAAATCGCAATGTATGTACCCCGATTTAGACAATTAAATTTGCATTATTCGGTATTCTGAATGAAAATACCAACCATGGATGGATGGATGGATGTTCATCCTAGAAAAATAAAACTTCAAACCATTAACACTCGGTGTCAGAGTAACACCACAATATGTCAGTTTACCAATGTAGCAGCCGTGGCTTATGCCAGCTTGTTTGCAGTTTTAAGTCTGTTTTAGTATGGGCTTGTGCTTGATGAGAGAGGATATGCATTCTTTATCACAACTACTCAAAGACATGCCGTTATGAATGGCCATGTTTGAGAATTGTTCTCATGTGCGGGAGTGAGGGGCGTGGCTTTGCTCAGAGACCTGAGCGGGGGAGGGATTCGTAAAGTGAAGCTCTATTATTTCAATCTTCCGAGCAATTTTAACACTTTAAACAGCCCACCACACTCGACTGGTTAGTATTTCCATTTACATTAGTTCTTATGGGAAATTTGATTCCAAATCCACTCATACTGGAGGTCAATCGGCGTTCCATAACTGATTGTGTTGGACTTTAAAGGTGCTGGTGGATTTCAAATGTTCCATGTTACTAGCTGCTGACCAGTTTCATGTATAGTCCAGTAAATGGCTGCAGGAGGGAGGCCCAGCAACCGAGGGTGTATCCGGCTATGACCTGCAGGTGCTACAACACTGTTTTTGCACCGACCTGAGGGAACATCGGCCCAGCAGCTTCAGCTTGTCACAGAAGCGAGAGGACATTGTGTTCTTCCTACACACTGTCCCTAAGAAGAAACGAGGATTATTCGCAGCCCATGGAGTCGAGAAGAAAGAGTTGTGTAACAAACCTGTAGTGGTCCGGCATTCCTGTATATTGCACTTTCTGAGCACTTCTGGTTTGGACATCTTCTCGCACAGGTTGTCTGGCATGACTCCAGAATCCTCGACATTCACACAGATGACGTCACGCTGCTGCTGACCACCTCCGCAGCTCACGGAGCACTGCAAAGTCAGGACATACTTTTCCAACCAGCAGCCTCTTTTTAGAACGGTAAGTCCACTTTACAGTCAGAGGTGGTAAAAGTATTCATACTAAGTACTTGAGTAAAAGTACAAATATTGGTGTTAAAAAAATAGTACAGGCTGAAATGTACTGTCAGTACAAAAGTAAAAAAGGAAACCATTTTTACTGTCAGTTATATACAATAGTCATGAAGATGAATTATCATGAACAAAAAAAAAAAAGAGAACCTCCCAACACAAAATTGTTTCCCTCTTTTATTAACTTACATAGTACTCGAAGCCCACGGGGAAGAAAAAACAAAACAAAACATGTCGCATGTTGTTTAAGAGCTAGCTAGTGCTGGCTTGGTTTTTATGCTATAAAAAAAAAAATACATAAATAAAAACTTGCCAATAGCTTTGTTAACTTTGTGTTCGTGTTACAAAAAAAATGTTCGCTAACTAATGGTAACTGTAAAAAACAAAACCACTCCTGACTTGTATTTTTCTCTTTGTGTTACTGCTGTGGGTATGTCCGCCGAATGCATGAAAAGACTCTTCGCGCACACAAAAAAAAAAAAAAAAAAAATCCTCAACTTTAGTCAAGCACATATTGCTGACCAATGAAAACACAGAAGTACGATCACAAAGAATTCCCACTTTGCTACTTCCTACCACTGCTTTTAGTTGATCATCTGTCACAAACCTGCTCCCACTCTTCTGTCCTCCAATTGGTGCAAGGTTTCAAGCTGCACGGCTCTGTGCTGTTTGGCCTCGGTGTAGCACCGCAACCTTGAGGCACTGGACAGTACACCAACCGCTCGCGCATTCCCTCACCACAGCTTCCGGAGCACTGAGGTAGACCAATACATTCATGATTTTTTGAATTGAGCGAGGGTCTCAAAGCATTGACATGGCAAAGACACATACGGGTCCCCATGGTGACACACTCCAGTCCACACAGGCCTTGTGGGGACAAGTCAAAGTACTGACAGGTTTGCTGGACACCGCCTGACAGTGGAACGGCCTAAGAGGACGGTGATTCTGGGAATCAACACATTGGACATCCCGGTACCGCTTTCCCATCACTGCACAGTTCTCTGGACACTGTGGACAACACGACAGCTCTAATGCACGGACAGATGACAAGCGGGGGATTCAAATCCTGGCGGTTGTTACCTTGCTCCAGCTGCCACTTTGCCAGGTGGCACACGGCTGAAGATGACAAGTGCGAGCAGGCTCGGGTTTCTTTGTGCCGGCACAGTCCTCGTCCTTTTGGGAACTGCATGTGACCTTTCTCCATATTGCACCAATTCCACATGTGGTCGAACACTGGAGTGGGAGAAGAGGTCTTAAGTCTAGTCAGTGAATGCTGAGGAAACAAATTTGGTAAATGAAGAAAATTACAGGTTTCAGCCATCATTTCATCCTTTTTTTCTATACCTTTCATACAGTGTAACTGGAGGAGTGGTTCTGAAACTAGGGACCAGGGACCCTCAGGGGTCCATGTGCCATAATTTGGAGGGTCCCCAAAATATATATATTTTTTTTTTCTAAAGTAATATAATGGTACCGGTATCTTTTCCAGAATTAAATGCCTAATATTACAAGATTAAAGTAGAATTTTTTAATTTTATCTCTTGTTTTTGTTCCATCGTTATTCTTTGATTTTAATATTACATCACATTTCGAATCTTAACAACAAATCCGTAATTGTTTTGGTAGATTACAATTTTATTGATTTTTATTTTTAAAAAATCAACCAACAGTTTCTCACGCACGCACGCACACACACACACACACACACACACACACACATGAGTGAATGCTTGTGTCATGACATTGTGTTGTTTTATGTTGTATTAAAAATGACATATTATTCACACACACACACACACACACACACACACACACACACACATATAGTCGTATTCCGACAATTTTTCTGGATAATGGGCAACTTTTTAAATCCTATGGCATTTAGCGGCACACATGGTCGCGAGATATATATCAGCAGAATTTTCCACTGCACAGGCTCAGTGCAGCTTGGCTGTTCTCTTCTTTGTGGCAGTTAAATTTTTCCATAAAATATTATCTCATAAAACTGCGGAAACATGGTTGCTCTGAACGCATCAGTTGGAACAAGACATGCTAATAAAAAACAACAATGGAAAAGAACGAGAGATTGCCAAATTTACGAATGGAATTCAAGAGGAGATTCAGTGCAGCGAGAAAATGGGCCACGTCAGGAAAGGGGAGAAGGGATTCTAACATTGCGGTGTCCGGTGCTAAGGTAGATGGCTAAAGTAACGTTATTGTGTCTTTTATTTGTCTCCTTTCAATCAATTTTCTCACTCGTTGGTTTCAGATGGTACGAGAAAGTACCATGGCTGGCGAAAAGGACAACTCAAATTCACACATTCAGGCCTAATGCAACAGCAACAACAAAAAAAAGTGATCTATTTCTGCCTTGGATAAACTGCTGAAGACGCAGAAGCACATTTTATGACCCTGCAAACAACTTTGGTTTAATATGATAATAAATAATAAAACCTCAAAATAATATTGATTGATTGCGGTCAGCGTGAGAGCATGTGTCGTTAAAGGCCTGGAACACTGTGATATTTTCAAATTCTGGCATAACACTTTATTGGGATAATGTATGATGGTTCTAAATTTTGTGCCTACCTCACTCCAGTTTCCTACAAGCCAGAACACGTCCACGCTGACCGTCTCTCTTCGGCCATGGGTGCTGTGAGGAGGTGGTGGATCCTGGCTCTTGGAACGGGTACCTTTGGACCGGGTTGAGGTTTTTTTGGCAGTGACACTTTTCTTGGGGGTCACAGCAGACTTCTTCGTTTTAATAACCTTTATTGTGGTCAGAGGCGATGATGCAGTGCCGAGTGGTGCGGAGGGAGCTTGTGTTGTGTGGAAGCCAGTTTTGGGTGGAGCCAAACGCCGCTTCAACATGGGAGTAGTTAGAGGAACGTTGCGCATCCGGGCGCCGTATGGAGTGATGTGAGGAGTGCTGCGATGACTGATCTCGACAGTAGCATGTGGGGTGAAGGAGGAGGATGTGGCGGCTTCTGTGGTTGAGTGCGAGCCGGGACCACTTGTTTGTAAACTGGGTGTGATGATTACATACGGCGCTGGTGTGGTTGATTTAAGAGGATTTTTGAACCAAGTCGTACCGACGTCCAGGTCTATGATCCCTTCCTCTTCTCGTGTCCTCTCTTCTGTGATGTAGTCATAACCAGGAATGTTCATCACCACATCGGGTGTGCTTCCCTCCTCGCTGTCAACTCCCTCCTCTGATTGCGTCTTTTTTTTACTTGGACTTTCCCCATCTGTCTGTGCCTTCTCCACAACGACACCATGATGATCAAGGGACGGGATTTTAGGGGTTAATGATTCAGTAGTAGTCATAGCGGTGGCCAAGGTACTTGTGGGAGACCCGGTGGGTGGGGGAGTCCTAGTGGGGTATCTCTTTGGCGGGTAAATGCGTCGGGATTTTGGAGGAGGCCCGGGTCGTCGCTGAAGGCTCGAACTGGGGCAGCTCTGCAGAGCGCACAGCGATCTGGTGCGTGGTTTGGTTGTGAGGTCGCAGGTTGTTTTAGGTGTTAATGCACATGTCACATTGCGCGACCGGACACCTCCTCCACATGTCACTGGACACTGAAGAGAAGACAGAAGACCAATTACGATAAGATAGAAAGACATTGGAAGGGGTGGAGTCTTACTTCTTCCCAGAGTCCAACAACCCAGTCCTGCCCGCAGGGTACATCTCTATTGCACGGCACAACAGATTTGGGTTTAAGGAGGTGCTTGCACTCCACAGGATGAAGCACCCTCTCCTCACCAGAAACTGTGCGGACGCAAAGTACTGTACGCTTCCGCAAACCTTCCAATCCACAGGCGGCCGTGCACTGCTGCCAGCCTCCGACCCACCACCTGAAGATGAAGAGAAACTCAGTCATGAAACGATTGCTGAGCGATGTCACCATCCAGGTGGATTTGACGTTACGAACCTGGCAGGACAATCCATGTTCTTGCACTTGCGATTTCTGTCTTCTGGACGGATCTCTGGGTCACATAGAGACTCATCTACAACGCCTACATCCATCTCAAAGCAGCGTGCAGGCTGGTACTGTTCACCTAAGACAGACAGACAGACAGGAGGATATAAGGTCTGATCACATTCAAGCCTAGAAAAATAAATCACAATCCGCCTACTAACATGTAAAGAAAGCAGAACAAAAGCCAAAAGAGCACCAAGAGAGTGCATACCTACGCTAAGGCTCAGCAGTGCATGAGTCTCTGGGATACATGCCTGGATCTAAAATGACATGCACCGTAGATCCCGAACAGATATCAGATCTTGATCCAGATCTAATATCTGAGCTTAGGACTGTATTTTCACTTGACCCCCTGTGGAGTTGCACAGGGACACCTGTGCTTTTGAGTTTTACCGCTTGATGCCTCAATATAAAGTAATACACACATGACCCGAAGACAAAACATCTTCCATATTAAACACGGGACTGACCTTTTCCGCAGGTGGTGCTGCAGTCTGTCCACGCGCCATGTGTCCACCTGTAAATTGGTTTTATGACCTCATTTCCTGTCTCTTTGCTCTTTCTAATAGTGTACTCGTACTTGAGGCCGGGGTTCTTCTCCTGAAACAACAACTGGACAATCGCATGGACAATGATGCAAAGAATCAGGAGGGACTTTTGTCAGTGTACCTCCCAAATCTATTTTTCGATACCCGCATTTTGTCTTGACACACTGTGTCTTTGGCTGGCCATACCTGGAGCACGACTGGCTCTTTGGTGGGTCCTGGTGCAGTAAGGTTCTCCATGTTCCCGCTCCGTTCGTAATAGAAGGTGGTCCCACCGGCTTGGTACTCCCCATTCCATTGGATGATGTAGTTGCCGTTGAGAAAGTAGTCCTCCGAGCCCTGTCTCCTCAAAGCCAGGAAGTTACCTGCCTCCTCGATTTCCTTCACCAGGATGTCCCGGGCCCCCTCAGGTATCACCCCCACGTCCACGTACCCTACGAGAGATGGGAGGAGGGGAGTCGGAGTCACAGAGAGGTAATGGATGGCCCACCAAGGCTGCCGGTGCACGCACATCCAGACTACCACAGCTTCTCTCTGATCTTTAATAGAGGGTGGGCTCAGTCTGTGGGGTTGGTTGGCATGTGTGTGTTCGGCGTGGGGGGGCACTGCCCCAGTCTCTGTTTTTTTATCGCCTGTGAATGGCGGAGGAACAAGCAACTGTGAGTGGGTCTGTGGAGTTTAATGGTGTTTGTGGGATGGTGTGTGTGTGTGTGTGTGTGTGTGTGTGTGTGTGTGTGTGTGTGTGTGTGTGTGTGTGTGTGTTGTGTGTGTGTGTCTTTCTGTTTGTGCAGCAGCCGAGGAGGGGACGGTGGGGGTCATGTGCTTATGTCTTTTGAAGTGTTACACATCTGGCTGGTTATCTGAGAAGGACGCTGTGCCCAACAAGAAAGGGTGAGAACATGGGCACAAGAAACATTCTTTATCCTTTAAGGACCTTTTTATCTTTTGAGCAAGCTTTACTCAGTGTGGATGGTGAGTTACACTTGTTGGCTCTAAGCAAAATACACACTCGGCCCCAGACGAGATGAACAGGACAAACAGCTGCACTATCTGAACAGATGTATTAACAGGTGTGTTAACTCATGAATCCATCTAGATAGGCTTTCAAGAAATGGTTACCAGTTAATGATTGTGGTTTTATTTCCATTGTGAAAAAAATGCTGCATCTTAGAACAGGTTGCATTTTGACCTTTTGTGATCATTTTTTTATGCCGCTGATTGTATTTCGGGAATGCTTGTTGGCTCTAAGCAAAATACACACTCGGCCCCAGACGAGATGAACAGGACAAACAGCTGCACTATCTGAACAGATGTATTAACAGGTGTGTTAACTCATGAATCCATCTAGCTAAGCTTTCAAGAAATGGTTCCCAATAAATGATTGTGGTTTTATTTCCATTGTGAAAAAATTGCTGCATCCTAGAACAGGTTGCATTTTGACCTTGTTTGATAATTTTTTATGCCCCTGATTATATTTCGGGATTGGATCTGGTCCAAACAGCACAGTTCTTAGACGGACTCGTGGACGCATGATCGGGGTAGAAGGTGCAGTTGTTGTGACTGCACTTTGAGCTAGACTTGCACTGGGCACAAAAATAGCGCCCTCTATGGATAAATTCTTCTATCTCAAGGCCCTGGGGCCAGATTATTTTTTTGGTGCCTCACGAAAAGCAGAGTGGGTCAAATTCATTTTTCTGGCTAAATGATTTTTTTTTTTTTTCATTTTTGCGAAACTACTATCTAACAACAGTTATTTTTTCTTTACTTTTTACAGATTGGGGTAGAAGGTGCACAGTTGTTGTGACTGCACTTTGAGCTAGACTTGCACTGGGCACAAAAATAGCGCCCTCTATGGAAAAATTCTTCTACCTCAAGGCCCTGGGGCCAGATTATTTTTTTGTGCCTCACGAAAAGCAAACAGAGTGGGTCAAATTCATTTTTCTGGCTAAATGAATGTTTTTTTTTTTTCATTTTGGCGAAACTACTATATAACAACAATTATTTTTTCTTCACTTTTTACAGACATTACAAGCATTATTGTAACCAAATCCCATAAAATTGAACAATAGTAGATAGATTTGGCTATCACTGTTTTGGTTTTAGAATTGTGGATCTGTAATAATACGATCCAGTGTTTATACATTTACAACATACATTTATAACATACGTGATTGAACTGATGTGAAAACATTTCGATTCTGGTCAATGTGCTCAGTTATTCTGTGCATTGAACACTTTTTACAGACATTACAAGCATTATTGTAACCAAATCCCATAAAATTGAACAATAGTTGATAGATTTGGCTATCACTGTTTTGGTTTTAGAATTGTGGATCTGTAATAATACAATCCAGTGTTTATACATTTATAACTGCCTTCTAGGGGAAAGTACAACTTGAAAATTCAGGCCTAACATACGTAACTTAATTGATCTGAAAACATTTTCATTCTGGTCACTGCGCTCAGTTATTCTGTGCATTGAACTCACCGAAGCCCTCTCCCTCCTCAAACGATTTGTAGACCGTTTTGCAGCTCGTGCCGTCACCTAAACACACTCCGCAACGATCTTCTACTGCGTTTGAGTCAATGCCAAAGTCACAACCCACCTCCTTGGGACAAATCACACACATAAACATCACCCAAAGGCTCATTACAAAACGGCAACGACGGGAAACACTCCGTGAACCTGAAGCGGCATGTTGTAGATGTTTCATAACTTGCTCTACCTCCCCAGTCTCTCTGAGTCTCTTACCCAGCCACACTACCTTGCACACTCCGTTGACGCAGATGTTTCTGGAGTTGTTGTTCATGAAGCACGGCGTTCCGTCGGTCACCGTGTCGAGCATCTTCTCCGAAAAATACTCAGTCTCGGGCCGGCAGTGGAGCTCGCAGGGGTTTACTGCAAGCAGATAGTGTGAGTTGTCTGTTATGTGCCCTGACACCCAGTCCGCCCACCTCTCTCCCAAAAATCATCTGGGATAGGCCCTAACCCGCAACCCTACTGAAGACGTGCTGTAGAATATAAATGGCTGGGCTGTGGCAAGCGCCCACAAAAAAAGAGTTTACTGTGTAAGACTTTCTTCTCAGGGCATTGATCGATAGCAACCGGACTGTTCAGGTTGTCTTTTGACATTTCGCCACTCATCTGAATAAGCTTCATCAGTTCATGCATATAGGCAAGATAGGACAGCTACAGCATGACAGTCGTATGGATGGAATCACCATCGCTAATATTACAATGTGATGTGACGTGATGGTTAGTTTACGCGAGTCCTGTGAACACGGCCTGTAGAAAAACGCACGTTTTCAAAAACATACGACCTATCGCCACTCATCTGAATAAGCTTCATCAGTTCATGCTTAAAGGCAAAATAGGACAGCTAGAGCATGACAGTCGTATGGATGGAATCACCATTGCTAATATTACAATGTGATGTGATGGTTAGTTTACGCGAGTCCTGTGAACACTGCCTGTAGAAAAACACAAGTTTTTAAAAACATACGACCTGTAGTTCAACAACGCAGGTGATTACGTGCAGAGCCCAACGCTAACATTTTACGCAGGAGATAGGTGGTGTCGTAAGACCCCTTGTCTGTTTCGAGATGGTTTCTCAACCATCATGTAGATGGCTTCCCTCACTCCGCTTTCAAACCGTCTGTCCTCCCTGTCCAGAATATGTCACATTCTTATCTTCAAATGAGTGCTGTTTCTCTGAGAGGTGCGGGTAGACCAGCGATTGCAATGCATTCTGGGACGTATAGTATCTGCAGTGTTGAAAATTAAGGAAAAAAAATTATGGTGTTTTTTTGGGGTGGTAAAATTAAAATAGAGTATCAACGGGTCTAATACGCCCCTACTTAAGGTTCAAGCTGTGGGTATTGCATTGTAAATGCTGCCCCCTACTGGAAGACCTACACACCAACTTGTAAAAAAACTTGTGTGGGGTCTGTCTGAGTACTCACAGGGGTTGGCCACAGGAACCCACTTGTAGAGCTCGTTGTGGTAGGGCACAGTGTCAAACTCGCTGCACAGCATCTCTCTAAAGGAGGGCTTATCCTTCTGGCAAGGTCTTGTGTTACACGTCCGATAGCGCTTCCGCTCCCCTGTACAGTACTTCCCACCAAACTCTGGCCTGAGGGCGGGGAAAGTCACATTATTTCACCGAGTGCAGACTTTGAACTCTAAACATAGATGTAAAATGAGATCTTACTTGGGGTTGTTACATTCTCTCTCAGCTGACTGAACTCCAGTCCCACAAGTCCTGGAGCAATGAGACCAAGCGGTCCATTGTCCCCATCCTCCATTCACCGTTTCGGGCAGCTTTCCCACAATCACACACTCTCCAGAGATACACCACTGAGGCGAAAGTGCATGACACTTGGTTATGAGGGAACAAATTCAAGCCAGCAACATCCTGAAAGAGTTTGACACATACCTTCTCCGGTCCACAGCGAGTCCCATCAATGGGCGAGTCCAGTTTGGAGCGACAGGAGCCATTCACAGAGCACCAAAGAATCTGGCAAACATTCTAAAATAATAAGAGAAATCGGCAGCAATCAGATTCAGTGGGCGTTGGTGAGGGCTAGCAAAGGCCTTCTTCTCTACTGGCCTGAACACGATCCAAAACATTGACCTACATTTGCAACGTAAATTCGAGTGCTAGTTCCGAGATGTTATATGATTCCCAAAAGGCTATTCTTTTCATTTTGTAATGCTTCTTTTGGATGTGCTACTTCCAGTACAGTATGTAGATGTTTTTTTTCGCCAATTAGGTCAGAGTCCGAGTCGTCGAAACATAGTTCAGCCTGAATGGGCTGCTGTGTCATTTTAAGGCTACGTTGACACTACTGTATGTTCCCGGTGGCATCAGCAGCCCCATTTGCTTGAAACATAGTTCACCATGGGATTTTGAGAATGTTTTTCTGTGTGATACTAAGATTTCTCATGGTCTATTATTGTAACCATGACGGGCCAGAGGCTCAAAGGCGCATTACGGTTCAATCCGTGGCTTGCCTCGGATGCCAGGACATTCCTCCGCACCCCATCGCTTTCTGACAGGGTCCCTCATGTGTTTCACATTCCGCCAAGGCTTTCTACTGCTGGAACGTGAATGCCGGGCAATTTCGGAATATGTTTGTGACCCTGGCAGTTGACAAAATCTCCCTTGCTGGGCGTGGCTTTAGCGGCGGTGTCAGCGCAAGTGGAGGAATCAGTGGCATGTAAAACAAGGTGGATGCCTGGGACAAACATAGGAAAATGATGTCCCCCAAAAATGGGAAGACAGAAGATTTTGAAGCTTACTGTCGATATCAAGCATCTGCCTGTTAGGCTGGATGCCCTCTTTTTGAATTGGAAGACCGCGTGTGCCGTGCCAGACCGGATTAAATTGCAACATGCAATATCACATCAGGTCAGTTTACCATCATATATTGGGATGCACCATGATTGAGCACCACAAAATAGCTACCTTACACCTTTGCTGGTCATGAGAACTATGGCAAAATGTGACAAAATTCACAGCAACAGCAGCAGAATATGGCACAATTCGAAATGACCGTGAGATGCCGGTGAATACTTATACAGATACTTCCCGCCTCACTAAAGAATTCGTCAAAGGTTCCATTATGTGCTGTCAGCCGACTAAGTTTCACATCCGCAACGTGAATGCCAGGGCAAATGTTTCAAAAATTCACCGGCCAGGCACGACAATTATGGGCTGTCATGTTTACCCATCCCGCAGCCCTCCTGCCTCATGACCATCCCAATTTGTCTACTGTGGCTTGAAACTGGCTCTCGTCAACAACAAGAACAGTCTAAAATTTAGAGTCTAAATTTTAGACTGTTCTTGTTGGTGACGAGAGCTGGCATTTTAAGCTACATTTAGACTAAATGTAGCTTAAAATGCCAGCGGCCATTAGACTCAAACCTGCTCGTCTATCTAACTCCAACTATGATAGTGTTGGGACGCAATCAGATTTTAGCTGGCTGGCCCACACGAATGTCAGCATTTTCCCATACCCTGATTGGTTAGTCAGTGCAAGCCATGTGTGACGCGCAAAATACGCCTGGAGTGAACTGCACACATTTGTATTTTATTTCAATGTTTCATGTTTTTGTCAGGCTATTAGATACAAAGTAAATGTTGATTCTAAACTGCTCCAGATGATGTACGTGGCACTGTTGCATGCCGTCATATTTACTTTTTGTGTAGTATTACATTTTTTTATAAATGCAAAGCAAGAGTGGTTGAATTAAGAGGTGGATTAAATTAGGCAAATCTACACTGAAAGCCCTAATCGGAATTCATATTCAGTTTCAAATGGATCTGATTGTGATGACTTACATCCACTTCATGGCAGTAGGTGGCGTTGGGCCCGTACTGGAGCTGACACTGGTGGTGTGTTGTGTAGCGAACGCCAAGACGTGCCAAAGGAGTGGTAAGGTCTCTTTTGGAAGGGCGATCGTCCAGACAGAAACCCCATCCACGACTGACAAGAGAGGACAGTAACGACGGTGAACAAGCTTTAAATGATTAATGAAAACAAAAAAAGAGAGAAAAATAATTACCGGTATATAATAATTTTGTAACAATTTGTTTTCCTGTTTACATTTTTTTGCCATGAAGATTTCCAAAGGGTGGAGGAATTTGAGGAGAACAGAAGGCTTAACAGTAACATATACCTCAAACGCCATAAATTGACCAGAACTCGGTGGGCGGGACATAGAACAATAATCGTTGAAAGAGCTAAGAAGATGCCAACTGAGGTGATTCCAAGGGTTGGACACCTGTCAACAGGGCTTTTGTTTGGAAAGAAGACAGGAGAGAAGGGTCAACGTGAACGGGGGCTCACTCAAGGAAACGTGTGATGTAGTCCTTGGAGCAAGACGACCACGTGAGAGGCGAGCTGTCGTACATCAGCTGTCTGGACATGATGAAGGGGTGCCTCCCGCCCACCTCGCAGTCGTTCCCTTGGCCGTCGTGATGGATTCCAAAGCTGCACTCAAGCATATCCGAACAGAAGAACAACTGCTCGTTTATGGGAATTTTTTTTTTTTTTACAGTTACTCTCACTGTATTCTGTCAGACATAAATTAACATAATTTTCAACACTATTTTCTATTCTCTGTCAAATACCTTAATAGGTTCAGTATTTTGCATTTGTGTCTATGACAACGTGAATTCCAGAATCAAACTGGTTTCAATACCAAATGCATTGCATGTATAGTACTGTTGATACATGTATAAGTAGAAAGTGGATCAAAAAGTCTACACACCCCTCTTCAAATGCCTTTAAATGTTTTTGTGATATTAAAAAAAAAAAATGAGACCATGTTAAATGGAAGTCGTCACATATTCCTGTAACACACGCACACACGTATGCACCTATGACCCATCTCGTGGGCAATGGTGAAGGCCACCGGTAAGCCTGAATCCTCATTGATGTTGCAGCTGCGGTGCGGTTGGCACATCCCAGAAAGATGAGACAGGCCTAAGGTCTCGCAGGGTTGGTTCATTCCGGCACAGATGTCCTTCCTGGGAGTCCAAACATAAGCCAAGGAACATTTGGAACATCTGACTCCATTCTCAAATTATATTTTGTATGCGTGTGTGTGTGTGTGTGTGTGTGTGTGTGTGTGTGTGTGTGTGTGTGTGTGTGTGTCTTGCCTGGTGACCAACACAGCCAGGTCATAATGGGCGGGATGTGTATCACTCTGTGGATTTAAGTTCTTCTGCCAGGCACAGAAGCTGGTCAGAGTTGTGTCTGCATGGTGGACGATCTTTAGGCCTTTCTGTGTGTTTGGAATTACCATGACAACCACACTTCAAATGAGTACTACGAATATTACAATGAATGTACCGGTAGTTGTCCTATGACAATTATTCTGGTGAGCAGTATTCTGCTCAGGACACATGACATCAAGACAGGAGTTCAGAGACTTCAGATCCATTAGCAATTATTGATTCCCAACGGGGAATCGATAGAACCCAGATTGAAATTACAAATATAATGGAAAGATAAATGCGACAAAAAGAGACAATCGGTGTCTTTACCTCTTCTCCTTGTAGTAGTATCAGACGAACCAAGAGGACATGGATGGCGTTCCCAATGCTGGCGTCGTGGAAGATACCTGCCACCTTGCCAACAAACATTTCAAGGGGGAATATTTTTGAAAACTTGACTTTTTAATCGAATGTGTATCAGTAGTTGAGTATCTGGCCCGCCTTCTAGTCCAAAATTAAATAACTACCGGTAGGTACAACTTTTCTTATCTGCCTCTTGCTGGAAATGCATTGTTGCGCATTATTACCGATTTGCTTTACCGTTTGTTGTATATGTTGAATTGCTCCATGTACAGCACTTTGTATGCAGCGATGGCTGTTTGAAAGTGCTCTATATATACAGTTGAGTTGAGTTGAGTATGGTTAATTTATGTAATAACTACCCCCCACCCTCTCAAAAAACGTTTTCTGTCCATGACATGACCAGCTAGGCTAGCTGAAGATTCAGAGCCACTTTTAGTGACCCCCGAGGGGCATCCAAAGGAGAGTGGATGGCCATTCAAGCCGATGGTGAACTATGATTCTCATTGAACTTCCAGTGACTATTATGAGAGTGTGAGAGAGAAAACACCAAATTTAACACGCCTGTACTCCATTTACACGTGGTCCTTGTAAGAGTACTAGTCACATGACACAGTGGAGGTAAAACGGATAATTGTTCCGAATTTGTAAATTTTCACTGAGAGGTGTATTCACTTTTGTTGACAGTGGTTTAGACGGCAATAATGGCTGCGTGTTGAGTTATTTTGAGGGTAGTGTAAATTTCCAAGCTGTACACTGACAATTTTACATTGTAACAAAGTGTAATTTATTTATTTTAGGCATCTGGAGAACAGGAATATTGAAAAAGTGATGTTAGAAAATAGTAAAGGCTCACCATGTTCATGATCGTGAAGATGTAAGACTCTACATTGTCACTGCCGTGATAGTCGATGAGCTTGGAATCGGCCACCACCATGGTCTCCACCCAGCGCTCCCTGCTGACCGAGCGCCGGGAGCGAGACTGTGCCGGACCGTGCTCCCTCTCCCACTCCTCTCTCTCCCTCTCCAGCCGTACAGAGTCGCCATCTGGGGCGTAGATTGGAAAATTAGTGTGTCATTCTGACATACAACTACATTTTCATAGATATTGGTCACTGTCATTCTCCGTGAACCCGGAAGTAGCCTGCCAACTAACAGAATATTTTTGTTTACTTTAAATAATGTCTTTTTCCATCCATCCATCCATTTTCTGAACCGCTTTATCCTCACAATGGTCGCGGGGCATGCTGGGGCCTCTCCCAGCTGTCTTCGGGCAGTAGGCGGGGGACACCCTGAACCAGGGCACAGCCAATCACAGGGCACACTCAGACGAACAACCACCTGCGCCTTTTCACTCAGCCTGCCCTGTATGTTTTTTTTAATGTGGGAGGAAACTGGAGTACCCGGAGAAAACCCATTCAGGCATGTAGTGAACATGCAAACTCCACACAGGAAGGCTGGAGCTGGGCTCGAACCCACAACCTCTGCACTATGAGGTTGACGTGCTAACCACTGGACCACCAGGTCACCCTAATGTCTTTTTGTTCATCTATTTATGCCAGCTTTTCTCCATTTTCACTTTTGGTGCCAACGTTTGAAACAAATAAAAAATGCTGCACACTGACTTCAGACTTTTTCTTGCAAAATATTCATTTTAGCTTTCATTGTGGCTTAGGGACTCCATTTGTAGACACTGCATAAACAAGTGAAAAAAAATTCTTGAGTAATGCCAAACAAATACCTGTTACTCCGCACGGGCCGGGTGTCTGCCTGCCCTCGGCGCTGCGTTTTTCCCTGTGCGTTTCCATGGCAACCCTTGGGGTAATGATGTGCGGCTCTGGGGAACCTGCAGGATCACTTGGAGATTTAGGGAGCGGCTCGATGAAAAAGTGTCCTTCAGGCAGGGAGAAGAAGCCTCTCTGTTGGAGTGGGGGAAATGCATGCGCAATGAGACCGATATGTAATTAAACATTTTTAAAAATATTGTTTTACTTTGCTACGTGATGCTTGTTTTCCCAACAAGGAAGGTTGAAAAAGGTCATTTCTCAGTCAGTTTCATTATTATTCATCAGGTGAGCTATTAGACATCGTTCCCTTTCTCCTTTTGTATCCCGCAGGCACATTCTGTCTGCAAAAGAAATAAATGTCTTGCCAAGTATGCTCTGCAAGTTCTTACTGGTGTTCAAGCACTTGCTTTTTTTTTTTTTTTTTTTAACGTGCGCCCACAAAAGTTCATCGACACGCGCCCTCCAGCACAAACAAAGTATCTCGGATGCACAAAAGAAAGCTCTGGATATTTTTCTTCAGTTCTTCAGGGGTGGACTTGACACCCTATCTTTGAAATCTTTTTTCACCTCTGGCCTGGGATGAAGGCGCTCTTCATTGGAGTCCAAACAAGCCTAGACTGTTCACGGAGGAACTCCTCCCTGTCTCGAAAGTCGCATGGATAGCAGGCTGCCAAATAATGCTGAATGAGAGGATATTATCTGATTCACTACAAGAGTTGTAGCAACGATACTCTCACTACTGAGAGAGTCATTCTCACTTTTGATTGACACTTCCTGTCTGATTATGCAAAATTTACAAATATTTTGTTGCCCTACTTTGGTAGATTTCTCAGGCATCTGCACTTTACTTGGATAATTGTATAGTTGACAGGAAGAATAAATGTTTACCTTTGTACTTTCAGTCTTTGTTAGTTTTACAGTAAGGATAATTGTATAGTTGACAGGAAGAATAAATGTTTTCCTTTGTACATTTCAGTCTTTGGTAGTTTTATAGTAATTTAGCAAAAGAGTTGAATTAGTACTTCCTTTTTTTTGTCTTAAATACATTGCGAGTACTTTTGCCACCTCTGCAGGAATGTAACTAACTACTGTATACTGTATATGTATTATTGCGGTTGCAGTGACGTGTAGAAATGCACTGCATCATACAAAGAGGTATTTGTAATATTTTGCCAATTCTTGCATCTGATTGGCCGGTTTCTCCAGTGCGCCCGGAGCCAAAAGCAGCTGTGATAAATCAGGACATGTTCCGCATCCTGCTGTTCCGCAGGGCTCCGGATCATGTGTAGTTCCAATTTCTGGGTCATCCTGACCACTTTTGTAAGAGAGGGGAGAAAAAAACTAAAAACAGATCCCCAAACATGTTCATTCAACAATGTGTAGAGGATATCATTTTTCCTTGGGGGGGTAGTTCACAGGCTTCATATGGGTAGACACAACCCCTTTGGACTTTGTTAACCCACCTGTTACCATGAACTTTGCAAAATAGGCAAAAGCACGATTCAGTAATTTTTTTTTTTTTTCAAGGGGTGGGAAATACTCTCTGAGAATGTTATGAAGTCCTAATTCCATACCAGACAGCAAACAACAAATACAGTCCAAATTGATCTCTACTACTTCAAGACATGATTCATCAACAATTTCATGCAATCGAAAACCTAATAATGAATTATTATTCCTACCCATAGATCAGTTATTCTTAAACTGCGGAACATCCCTTGTGGTACGCAGACTCCCTCTATTGGTATGTGAAAGAATCACTGAATTAAATACCGGTATACAAATAAGATTCATACCATGAAATTTAAGAAGCACGAATACTATTAAACGTATTAGAACAAGGTTTGTTACGATGCGTTAGTGTTGAACTTCTAGTGCAGTGCAAGTTAAATACAACTGAGCTTCAAAAAAAAAATTAACAACTAAATTGCTTTTTAAAAAATAAATTAGCATTTAATTTGTAACGTTTGTTTAAAAAAATAAAAGGCGACAATGTTTATTTAACTTTTATGTACAATAAACTTTCAGTTGTGAGATTGACTGGCAATCAGTCCAGGGTGTGCACCGCCTCTTGCACCAAGTCAACTGAGATAGGCTTTTGGATTTTTTCAAATCTAATCGCATTTCAAGATGGTGACCATGCAAATGTCAAATCCTTCGGGATGCAAACATTTCTATTTATTTATTTGTGTCTTTATTTGTAACAGCCTCGTGCTTGTGGGGTACCGGTGGAAAACATTTTTGGGAAATTAGAACAACTTGTGTTCGATTTTGGTGGCTGCGATGTTCGGAGTTGACTTTTATTTGGCGTCCCCACCCAAAATGAGAAGAAATTAAATTGAGAGGAAAACCTCTGGAGAATGGCCTTTGGCTGCGAGTGTTGATGGACTCATCCACAAAGCATGTAAGTTGATAAATCCCCAGTGAAGTGACGTCCGTTTCCCAGACTCTCAGTGCACAACTCGCGGCTGATTTCACTGCTCTCACACTCTTTTAGTAGCAGCGCGTTCTCACGTTCGAAGATAAAGCTCGCAAGACAAAACACATACAAGTACCCAATATGCTGGAGGAAAAAGAGCGACCGAGTTTTTTTTCTCGCTGCTATCATACCTCCATGTCATCTCCTATATATTTGCAGTGTTTAACTTGCAAAGAGCAAAGCAGGTGGTGGAGTGCAGATGGGCCGGGTAGGAATGCCACAGGGAGGCCCATCCAAACACAAATTGCTCTGCGTGATTCATATGATCTGCAAAGCGAATGTACGTCTGGGCTTGCGCTCTCTTTTATTTACACTACCTGTGCTCCGCAAATGACCGTGTGCACACCGCAATGGTGGGGAGTAAGAGAGTGCAAATATTTTGGTACTGTACTTAGAGACCCTGTGAAATGAATTCAAAGATGTATTTTTTTCTAAAAACATTATCCATAATTTGAAGAGAATTGCTGAAAACTTGCAAAGACTGAGAATGCCATGTAGTCCTAAATGGTGGAGCTATCGCGTTAAACTGTTTACACCATTTCAGTTTTCCATAATTTTGGTTTGGCTAATTGGACAACTCGGTCTTCTCTCTGCCACAAAAAAAGAACTTCAGGGCCTTTGTTTACATCAGTGGTTATTTGGCAAAATGGTGACTTAGTTTGCTCTTCTGACTAGGACCAAACCTGTTAGTTTGCTAGCTAGCTGGTGGTTAGCTAGCAAGGGTATTTACAGCCTAAGAAAAGAATGACGGTCGCCATGTTTTCTTCAATTTCTTTTTCATTTTAATGTCTGGTGCCGCTAAAAGTGTATCTAGTGACTAACTGACACAAAAGAAAACAAGGAATGCCTACTAGCACAGTTTTTGGCAGCCCAATACCATAGCTAATTATGTAAGAATTTGTGAAGTGATTTTGGTGGTTATCAAGAAAACAATGTCTCGATTCGTTCTTGAATTGAATTCTTACGAGCTGTTCTAGTTGCCATTGATGGTCCGGACATGCCTTGATTGTACTAGTCATTTTAAAAGATCAGGAAACAGAAGAAACAAAAATAGTCTTCTTCATTTTTTCCATGGCTGTAGTTTTAACCACCGAAGGCTTGAAGCGGATATATTTTCACGGCTCTAACACGTAGCGATATGTTGGCACAAGAAAGATGCTGGACAAAGCAGCATCCATTTTTCGCTAGAGGTATTTGATTGACAGGTGACAGCTGAACAAGGCCTGCCTTCAGTGCCTTCCCACGGCTTTTGAGAGCGGAAAGAAAGGCCCGATTTTTCATGGATTTGTTGCCTCATTTTACTACACAGTATACTTGGCAATTTTATCAGGCCTTCAAATTTGGCAGAGTTTACAACACTCCTCTGTGTGGTGTGTCCAATTTACAAGACCCTTATTTTCACTTTACAAGGGCTTTAAGTAGATTTTTCAGGTGTCTGTGCTTGGCTTAAGAGTCAATTTTTCTGATGAAATTTGACTTTTTATTCCTTTTGATTTGACTTCCTATTCCTTGTCAAAATACGCTTGTTACTTTTTCAGCCTGGCAGAGGATAACACTAATATGGAGAGGAAAAAAAAAATCACTCTTCCGATTGAGAATACCTGAGAAGAAATACTTGAGGACAAAGTAACCTGTGCGTAATCTTCGCAAAGAGGTCTGTCAGTTCCAACATGCAGCATCGCAAAGCTCGTTTCAAAGGACGTCTCAAAAGAAATGATTATTCTTGATCAGTTCAACTGGCTTGCAAGTAATATAGATAGTAAACGCTTTGCAAATTATTTTGCAGGAACACCTTGAAACATTTCACATTACACGAAGATTTAAAAAAGACATGAATCGAGAGAAAAGGCAACCGTGGTTGAGATCTTGATTGATTGATTGATTGTGATCTTGGGGACTTATAAGGTGCAGCAGGGACATTGGGTATCATGAATCAGGAAGAATTAATGACACTTGTAAACCAGATTCGGAGCGGCAAGACATTCCCATTCAGTGGCCTAAGAAACTTTAACGTTGTCGGCTCCAAAATCATTTGTGGTGAGTGCATTGTGGTGCCAGTCAAAAGCCACCAATTTCTGCCATTCAATAATTCTTAATCCAATCTGAATAAAACAGAAGGAACATGTATTTTTTTTTTCAGGTGTCATGAGATAATTTCCCCTTTTTTTTGTTCGTTGGTCCACAACTTGAGCAAAGTTACAGGACAATGTTTTTAATAGCATAACATCTGCTTCAGTAGTTCTTAAACAACTTGCAACGTGTACAGTAACGTGATTTGTTTTCTCCTTCTTCAAGCACTGTAATAAGAGGGAAACTATTTGTGTGCCGAGAAGTTATCAAAACGGGTATTGTATATCGCCATCCAACCATTTTCTGGAGCTGACTTTGAGCCAGAGGTCGGGTACACCCTGAACTCATCGGCAGCCAATCACAGAGCACACATAGACAAACAAGCATTCACACTCACATTCGCTACGGGCAATTTAAAGTCTTCGATTCACCTAAGAAATGTGGGAGGAAGCTGGAGTATTGTGGGAAAAACCCACGCAAGCACAGGGAAGACTTGCCAACTCCACACAGGGAGACAAAAACCCGGATTCAAACTCCCAACCTCAGAACTATTCGGCGGTTGTGCTAATCATGACTTTACCATGTGCCTGTATTGTATGCAACTAAATATTACATTTTACTTTTGTACTTGTCAGTACAGGAGGTGAATAAGTACGTACTTTGACTTTTACCAAGTATGATTACTTCTATTTAAGTACAGTGTGTGAGTGAGTACTTTTGACAACTCTAGCACAAGCTAGTAACTATGCTAACTGAATGCATGAATATTTGGTCGATTTTTATACCCTTGGGTCTTGAACTGAAAATCTGCTCGGAAAAAAAAGTATGAGACCCGCCTCTGAATCCTTGAAACCTGGAGCAAGGGTGTTTTCTGTATGAGGTAGCAGGACCACAGGAGGTTACCATAACATGGGTCTGTGTTGTAAATACAACGGCCATGTGGAACTGCTTTACGGCGCTTTCCTGCTTCTGTGGGTTGCAGTGCAATGGGAATAAAGTGTCAACTGTTGGTGACCTTCTAGAACTTATTCGTGGTTAAAAAAAAAAAAAGGTCAAGGGGTGGGGGCTGCTTATTATACAATGACCACCTTTCAACTTTCTCCCATGAAGAGCGCTCTTAAGAATAAGGTGAGGGGGGGATCATTACGAGAGAATTTCTGTCTGTCGGTTCAAGAAACTTTTCTCGTTTATCTTCGTGTCAGAAGACAAAAAAATTGTATAATAGGTCTGAACTTGTTTGTACTTGTTCAGAGGTGTGCCTCAGGGAATGGCCAAGCTTCGATGGATCTTACATGAAAGGAGAATTTTGAATCTCAGCGCTTTCCACCCAGCGCTTGTGACTGATTCACACGTGCGCTCCATAACGGAGATTAGGTCAATTTGTTCGAGCAAATGTGACTTTGTCTTCTGCTAATGGGGAAACAAACACGTTTTTACAAGACTGGTACATTTAATTTTACCAAAAAGATGTATATGATCCTGTCTTCATGCTGGCAGCTTTTTAGCCTTTTTGTCTCAGAAAGATAACATACATACCGACAATCAGGCTGAATTTGAGAATTCAAGTAGTTTAAGATTTAAACATTTAAGCTGCTAGCAGCTTCGATGAGGTCCTTTTCAAATGTGTGTGGTAATCTTCAGGTTGCCTTCATGGTGACAAAAATGCAGTAAATAATAAATCTCTAAAAATTGAACTGCAATATAGTGGGAGAGCGCAAAGTTACCAAAAAAAAAGGGAACAGCTCGCCGAGCTTTTTCTATTTCTTTTTCGTCAGTCTGGATGCCCACGCTGCCTCTCACAGGTCAGTCTTGGTACTGTGGCGGACATCCAGGTTGGAAAAGAAAAATCGCGCTTGTGGGTGGAGGTAAGGTTGTAAATGTGTGGTGTGTTTTGTTGGTGTTTTTTTTTTTTTTTGCTCGTCATGCGTGAGGTATCGGACATCTTAAAGAAATCAGTTCAAGTGTTCAATATCGGGAGGTGTGTACCACACTTCAGTCACAGCGGTGCGACTTTTTGTTTCTGGAGGCCGAAGCTGGAAAGGTTTCCACCCCACATCTGCCTATAAAGTGGACTCTCTGGGGGTTTTACACAACTGGAAACCTTCTACCACAGCGAAAATTCTGGATAATATATCAGAATGGATTCCCTGGAGTTTGGAGGAGGGGAATTAAAAAAAACAACAACAACAACAACAACAACAAAAATAACACTGGAATTCCATCTTGAAGATATGAGGTATGAGTGACACGTATCTGTGTGTTGGGCTGGACTATCAGGGAGGGTCTAAAGTGGGTCAGTTGTAAATTATGCCGCAGCAGGACAGGCTGTCATTAACTTGGCTCGGTTAGTCAGATGTAACAAATGAGGCTCGGCAGTGAGAGACGAGGTAAGCCTGGAGAACGCAATAGAACACGTTTTGCTTTGACACAATCAAACACACCAAAACAAGACAAAATGTGCCATCCCGTCACATCCAGGGTATTATTTCTAATTGTTTTGAGGTTCTCGAAGTCTAAAGCTCTACTGGTTGCTCACTGATGGAGCAGATTTGTAACGTGATGTTACACAGCTGTCACTCAGGCTTAGCTCTGGATACTGCAGTACTTTAGCACACACTCTCCATTTGGCTGCAGTTGCCCAATTTATGACTGCCCTTATTCTCATCGAATTGTCTCATGCCCTGAGGTAAATACAGTAGACCCTCAGCCTCCAGCTTGTCTTATCCTCCTTGAGGGTTAAACCTTTGCCATCCTCAAATTTAAACACTATCCAGGTCATGTTTTCTGTAATATTTTAACACAGGTCAAAATGTTATTAGGACACCTTAAAAAGTGTGATCATTCTCACCTTAAGGTCATTTTTCTCCGTTCTATAATCATTAGTACCGCTTTCCCCCCGGCTAATTATCACTTTTAGCATATATGCACATATATAAATATAGGTTAACAAAAAGGCCAAAATTGGGCTTGATCTTGATGTCTGGACCCTGCGTCAACAACGATACTGGTCTGCAGACTTTTGTCACTGTTGTCGCCATCATGGGTCTATTGTTGATACAGCTGTTGTTGTGCCCATTGTTCTGTGGTCCCATCACCCCTCTATCCTGTTTACTCTCTCAATCGTCCCTCTCTCTCCCCATCTCAAATCAATTGGTCAAGGCAAGACGGTGGAAATGCTTGCCTGTCTTAATACATCCCCTATGATTGACAGGTGACCAGATCAGCTGGGATCTGTCCCAGCTCTCCTCAACCGTGAAAAGGATAAGCGCAATAGAAAACAGATGGATGTATATGTCCAATATTCTCCACTTCCTCGTGTCAACCTTAGCTCTCCAAATTTATGCTCCAACTAAAGCAATCCCTCAGGGGGTCAGCAAAGTAAAATGGGAGCACTATTCGGAGTGTCAGTGAGAGCGATCTAAGAAAGGGAAAGCAAGACCAAGAAGACAGGAAAGAGTCTCCTGGTGAGCTGTTGAGGATCAGCAGCGGTCGTCAGCGCGGCGGTCGTTTTGCAAACAGTGCCGAGACGTCTTTGAAGAGCAAACGTACAGACAAGACAGTGTCTTATGATATTTGGAGCCTTGACCTCATCGCAGGGAACTAAATCCTAACACAAAACACGGGAAAATATCAAGGACGGCAACAAAGAAAGAACTGAAACACATTTGTGTTTCTTATTCTTATGCGCTTGAGGTTTTTTTGGGTTACCCCAACTTGGCAAAATGAGATCAAGAGCGACCATTGCAATCTATGTACCACTTTTGTCTGCAGCACAAAAATAAAACTAGAAGCCTGTCCAAGAGTGACGGTGTTGGTACCACAATGTGATTCCTTACCAGTCCATTACACGTGCTGATGGCAGCGGTCCCTTTCACACCCGAGACTTCCACGGTGCCGAGAAGGTGGCAGGACGACCCCGCGGGCATCCGCCGACTTTCCGTCCGGTTGGGGCCGCCGTTGCGCCTCTCCAGGATGTAGTCGCTCGAAAGCAGCCGATTATTTTCTGTCAAATTGAGCATCAAAGCGCGTCCGGTGTAGTTGAACTTGTAGTAAACCTGCGCCACCGCGCTGAGGTCTCGCTTGACTCGGCCATCCTTGAAGTGGTGAGACAGAGAGTGGGAGATGAATTCTCCAACAGCGTTGGTTCTCACTGGATGGATGACGGACCCTGCCTGAGGCTCAGCACCTGTGCGGTTGAAAGCAGGATAGTACAAGAGTCATATGGAAGATAATGATCATTAGCGTGTGTGGAAAAAAACAGTGGTGGGACACCGAAAATGAGTGTATGTCGTCTACATACCTAGAAAACTACAGCACAACACAGTAAATTATTATTTTTTTAATTCTTAATTAGGTCAAACAATTGCATGGCCACATACGCAGCTTTAAGAGTGTAATACTTTTATCATAAAAATAACCCAGATGCACTGGATTCCAGTCTGGCAAATACAAAACGGGGTTCAGGCACCACCTTATGGATTATGATAAATGAATCAAAATGGCAGTTCTGAATCACTCCTCTGTATCCGTATGAAAAATAGCTGAAAGGCAACACATCTGGATTAGAACGGGGGCAGCGTCCTTGACTGCCCCTCAGGCTGTCAGTGCTCGCTGAGTGCAGGCTTACTTTGCGGCATATTGAGTTGAGGTGTGAATGAGCAGCACACTGACCTTGCGCCGCAAAAAGAGAGAAGTTCAAGTCTCCGTGGCCGCCTGCCAGGAAGAAAACAAAGTGTTGCAGCAGCAGAAGACGCGTGCACTCTTGCAACCATGGCATTATTTCATGGAACCAAACTCCCCAAGCGATGGAAAAGCAGTCCGCGGGGGGCGTCGGGAGCGACTATACTGACTGTCTCATGACATGGACATACTCAGGAGGAGGAGTGCGTCCTGCCTCATTGGGGGAACCGAGCGAGGCTGCATGGGGAAGGAGCAAGCTGAGGCTCTTGGAAGGAGGGAGGGAGAGTGGGAGGAGAGGGAGGGACGGAGGAGTGTTCTTCTGTGAGAGCCGGTGTCTGCTTTCCTTCTCGGAGGAGCAACGTGGAGAAGGAGCAACAGGCTCCATTGGTTCATGGGCTCCAACCTTGCCTCAACTTGCAGCTGGATGCATTTCAGACTCACGGTTACGCGTCATGAAGCCTCTTGTTATCATGACCTGTATACGGCTGCACACACAACTAAATTCAGTCACACAATATAATGATGATGATGATAGAAATAAATAAATAAATATTAGGCAAGGTTACCGTGTCCGCCTCACAGTGTACGGGCCATCAATTTGACGACGGGTCCCGACCTTCCTGTGCGGCGTTTGCATGTTTCTCCTCGTGCCTGCGAAGGTTTTCTCAGTGCACTGCGGTTTTCTCCGACATTCCAAAAATATGCACGATAGGTTATAATTGATCACTCTAGATTGTCCCGAGGTGTGATTGTGAGCGCAAATGGTTGTTTATCTATGTGTGCCCTGCAATTGGCTGGTAACCATTTCAGGGTGTCCCTCGCTTACTGCCCCGAAGACAACCCTTAAAGGCATAAAAGTTGGAAAATAAAATATAAAAAATAAGGAATACTTGAAAAGAAATGTTGTTCATTTCATTTGTATATGAATAGAAATCCTGTAGCGCTGAGCTATTTTACATTTTGTTATTTCTGAATCCTTTCATCATTTTGATACATTCCATGTGTACGATCTTGGATCTTGATAATATTGTATTAAATAAATGAAAAATGCTGAATTTAAAAAAATGATTACAAACTAATAAATACACCAAAGTCCACTTTGCACTGTGAACAAAGTACAGAACTTTATTTTACCTTGAGTGGACAACTGTTTCATCACTATTTATCACGGAAAAGGTGTAAATAGTTACCAGGGAGTCGAATACTATACAGAAGGGGTATGTTAGTGTATATTGTACCCAGAAGGACAGAAATGGACGACTACTGTTTGTCTATATCTTCTTTGTGACAGCATGGAAACATAAACTGCATCTCCCTCTCCCCGACCCACAAGGAAACGTCAAACAAAAGATAAATTCAGCGCAAACACATGCAACATTTAAGTTTATCTGGGGGTGAACTGTAGTCCTTGACTAATGTTTGCTCATTCCACTGCTATTTCTGCTTTGATCAAAGACTTTTCTGAATGCAACTTTATAATAGAAAGGACGCCCATTTGCTGCAATGTTTAATTGATCAACAAGAAACTCATGAAAGGGGACCACTGGTTATTTTCGTAACAAAGCAGCTGCGGGTCTAATGTGTTCGGGCAGCAAAATGAAATATAAATATTGGTCACAATTTTCTTGATATTATCTCTTGACCTCTTCCTTCCTGTTCATAAATAATGACCCAACAATAAAACAATGACACCCAATAAAATCTTCCGATAATCAGTGTCGAATGGCACTGCATTTTAGAGATTAACTGTTGATCGTTTTTTTTTTTTTTTTGGGCTCTCTCGTGGGGCTAAATAAAACATTGAAAGCAAATCTCGGTATGATAGTGTAGTTGCTCCACTCCGAGCGACAACCAATAATAATAAACAGAATAGACTTCCCTGACAGTGCTTTGATACATTCTCATTTAACAATTCTGTCTTCCGTCTCTCTTACAGACATTACCCAAACAGACCCCCACAAAGGGCCCCGTTACTGTAATGTGCAGTAGACTGTGAAATGTCTGAACCTGGAAAATAATCGGGAGCTTTTGTTCGTCTTAGGTGGGACAGAGAGGGTGCCCCCCTCTTTTCCTTTCCAGAAGGAGCTTGTGGCTGCATTCCTCATCAAGGCCTCCTTGTGTTGTGGTGAGTAACACGTCTGGGTGGTTTAGGGCTTTTCCTGATCGAGGTCAGCATTTCTCGAGTCAAGGCCTTTAATTGATGCGGCCAGTTTAGAGGCCGGAACATTAGGTACACTTCTCATTGCCTTTATGAAAAGGTATTTATGCTCACCTTAAACGTAGTTAGGGTTTCCTCCCACATTCCAAAAGCAGGTTAATGGAACATGCGAAGGTGTGAGTGTGAGCGTGAATGGTTGTTCGTCCATGTGCGTCCTGCGATTGGCTGGCAACCAGTTCTGTGTACCCTGCCTACTCTCCGAAGACAGCTGGGATAGGCTCCAGCACGCCCGCGACCCTCGTGAGGATAAGCGGATTAGAAAATGGATGGATGGATGGGTTGTTATTATGGTTGCAGCACATTCGCAGGAAGGCATTTGGAAATTCCCTTATTTGTGGATATTGTGGGGGGGTGGGGGGGTTATCCTGTTATTTCTTGGAAAAACAATTTCAGTTCACACCATTGAAAAAACGTCTGTGCTTTGCTGTGCAAAACTGGTTGGATATTAAATGGTACAAAAGGGTGTTCTGACTCTGGAGGTTTTAGATGAGGATTTTTTTTTCTTAAAGTTATTTGCAATAGCCTCGCAATATGTTTAAAAGAAAACAACGAAGTTCTTAAAAAAAAAAAAAAATCAAGCTTCACTTTAATTCCGTGGTACAAAAATCCAACAAATAAGAAATTGCACTGAGCATTTATAATCTTATTAACAGTCTATGTACATTTTAGAGGTCAATCTTGTAAAAAAAAAAAAAAAAAAAAAAAGAATAAATAAAATACTGCAAGTTTTATGATACTCCTGTGTTGTCTTCTGACTGGGGGACTGTTTCCACATCTTTTAAACAGATTACATGTATTATATTTTGCTGAATATCGGTTTCTGTGTCAGCGAGGGTCTCACATTCATCCTCAGCCTCTTCTTCGCCGCTTCTTTCCAACACTGAATCAAGCCCAGGCTTGTCATCTACGGAGCTCATCCACCTTTTGGGACAAGACAACTGCTTTCATTTCTGATTACTTTTCGAAGTTGTTTCTCAAAGTACAGTTCACATACCTTTGAAGAGTGTGTGGGTGTGGCAATTGGAGGTGGAGAGACTTTCTCAGGTAGTCATAAGCTTTTGGACCATGTAAGTGGAGAGTGAGGGCAAACTCTCTCTGGTCTCGAGTGTAGTCGTTGCCCTGTTTGGACAACAGGTGGACTGGCAGACCTGAAATTCAAACGCAGCCATTTTGGATGTGTGTCACTTGAATTGACCAAATGTTGGGTCAATTGTATCTTCACGGACCAACGTAGAGGGGTTCCGTTGAATTTGGCCAGTTGGGCCTGCAGTGGCCAAATTCATGCTTGGAGGCCAGACAACGACGGCAAAAACAAGATCACGTGTCACCTCACCCGAGTATGAATCCAGCTTCTCTCTGAGCTCTTCGTTGATGAGGTTCTTTCCCCTCAGATCCTCCAAAAGACCAAACACTGTGTTCTTGGCCCGCCGTTCTCGGTCCTTCACGTTCCTCAGCTCGCGCTCTAGACCCTCCACCCTCGCTAGGGCCTCTGTCAGTCGGGCCTTGAGACCGGCAGGAGACGAGGGCAGCGCATAGCAGTGGTCCTAGAATAGGGACTTTCAATTAAAATTCGGGGCAAAGGGGGCATGGAACGGATTTTTTTTCAAATTCCAATTTTATTTAAAGCCATATCAGGAGGCCCAACTTAAAGATGAAAGAAAACATCATGGAATGGATTCCGTTCCATCTCTGATATTCCACTGTCATTTCATTTTCTGATGTTAGCGAAACATGCCTACATCAAATCGTATCTGCACTCAAGCATGTGAATGTGACGTGTTTCAGAAAAGGGAGCTAAGCCAATGTCACGGATGTCGGAGCTTGACTATCACGTGACGCTCACCAGCATTTCAGCCATGGCCAAAGTGTTTGACTTGTGGCCGACATCTGCTCCTGCATGAGGGCGTTCGTTGTGTTTGTGTTTTACCAGCATTCAATAAACGGGTGAAAAATGCATCATGATCGTGGCTCTCCTTTCCCACATACAGAGGCATTAGAGAAAGTAAGTATACAGTTAAAACAGATAAAAGGCAACAGCGATAAACTACAGCTTCCTGTGACAGGGAGGGGATTTCCGCAATCGATAAATTACAGAAAAGTCTGTAATATAAAGATAGGTTTGCCATTAAAAAAAACATTATACTTACAACATCAGAAAGAGGGGATGGCTGTAGTAGTGGTGATTCAGTCTGCGGCAGATTCTTTGAACCAACAGATGCCACTGACTCTCGAGCTTTCTTGGAGGTTTGCGTTGTCCTGGTAAACACTTGCTGATGTGGAGGGTGAAAAAAAAAATCACATTCATAAAAAGACCTTTTTATAATGTTTGTAAACAGGAACTGTAGCACCACTGGCAAAAAGTAATTTACGACCACTGACTTGAAATACATTTCTTCCACTGTAAACAATGTTTAGCTGGATTGAATATAATTTGTATATAATTGAGACAACTAGAATGGCTCTCCTGTTCGCTAACGTCAGCCCCACCATGCAGTATTTCACCATCAAAAAGTACACCGGGTCCATAAATCTGAGCAGCGGAAAAGTCAATTGATTAGCCAGTCCTTCAATGATCATGAATTCCCACAATGTTTAGACTCGACGAGACTCACTTTTTGGACAGGCGACTGGAAGCTGAAGACAGAAGGTTTGGCTCCCTCCCGAATCCTGACAGTCTGGCCTGTGGCGTCAATGTCCTCGGGTTTGAAGTGCTCGCTGCAGAGGACCGATGACTTGGTGGCGGAGAAACCTCTCTTCCTTGCTGCCACTTCCCACTGCCTCCTCAAGAACTTCTCTTTTGGAAACCTGCAAATTTGACCACATACGAGTGCTTATGAATCAGCAATGTTACCTGCAGAGCGATCGATATTTTAACATACTCTACTCACAAATAAATTGGGGATATTTGGCTTTCAGGTGAAATTTATGGAAAATGTAAAAAGTTCACGCTAAAGTGATATCATATCATGAAAGTAGGACATTTAAATAGAAGGATGCACTGGTGATTTTCTCATTGCAAACGATTAATTGAAAGAAAAGCTAACAAAAATGGTGGGATGTGGCCAAAGGACGTCCACTTCTATATCTTTCTGTGACTCTTCGCGTCTCTCTGTAGCTACCTGTAGATTACACTCTGTGACACTTTAAGCTCAGTGGCCACTTCCGTCTGAGAATGTCTTGTTTGAAGCATCACAATGGCAAGGTACTGTTGATCCATTGTTAGGCGTCGTCTTGGTCTCATGATGTCAAAATGTGAACAGCATGATGAGGACTACTGTTTAATTTCAACACCAGCTCAAATTGAACCAAGACATTTATTGGTCGACTGATGGATCAAACGCCTGTTGTGAATTTTGCTGTTAGAGAATAGGAACTTGTGCAAAGAGTACTGAAACATTCAACAGTTGAACATGTGCATTCAAAAGCTTAGAGAAGGTCACATTAAGTTCACCTGTAAAGGTTGGTTTGAGTTCCTTTTAGTCTCGTCCTGAAATTTCACCTGAAAGCCAAATATTCCTAACTTTTTGTGGGTAGTGTAAGTGACACGCTAGTTCTGTGCTTCATATTTAACCCCGAAAGCTCATTCTGTTTTACCTGTGAAAGGTAATTCCCTGCAATTTGCTTTGGGCTGTGCGGCGATTTGTACATCCCCATGCTGCACACGAGTCGGGCATCTTTCCTTTCAAAAGTCAAGCTTGCAAAGGATGTATTTGGTGTTTATTTTGTGTGGGTTTTTTTTTTTTTTTGCGAAATCTACGTGGGATTGCGTTCGGGAGCCAAAACCACGTTCACGAGGTCTATTTTGCCCGGGAAAAGATGGCGACGGATTTGACGTGCGAGTGTAAAAGTGTTTACTTCCGCTTTATTTTATTTTTGTTGACGTGTTTCCGCAACATCGGCCCATCTGACAACAGGGACCGTGTCGGGACATCCAATGTTATCGGAATGTTTTTTTAACGGATATAAGAGGAAAACACCGCCTTCTATCAAACGAAAACAAAGCCTGGAGCGATACTAGTATTAGCTCATTCCTGTCACCGTTTAAACATGACTGCAGTAAATTGTTAAGTGAAGTCGCATTCTTCAAGTTTTATCTACTTACTTATGGAATGTGATTCTCTTGGCTTTAGTCTCCGCCGTGCGCTTATTCACGCAACCCAACGCAGCACAGTACTGAGGCATATCTTCATTTTGCTTTAAAAAAAACAAACATTGATGTACCACTCGCAATTACCGCTCAAAAATGGCGTCTACATAGACGTAGTGTTGTTACCCACAAGCCACTGCGGCAAGGAATTTCTTGTTCTTGTAAACGTAATATGGCAGTTGGCAAACCAATTTACAGTGCATTGCCGCCATCTACTGGGCTGGAGTATAGAGGAGGGAAATAACCTACTCACAATGTTGTCTGAATTTGGTTGGAGTTGCGGTTCCAAGATTTTCACTGGTGGAGTTCAATGTTGAATGACCAGTCCTAATTTGTGTGAAAATGGAGAGCGGCAGAGCCTTCAATGAAGTAAAATGTGGTGTGTGAGAGAGAGAGAGAGAGAGAGAGAGAGAGAGATTGGAGCATCCTGCTATGCAGACTGTGCAATTACAGGGAATAAAACTCTGGACAGGGAATACACCTCTGAGCCTGCGAATGCTGCTTTTCTTGTATATTTTAATTGAAAAAATAACTAATGTATATATTATATTACTTTAATTATATTAATTTAGTTGTTTAAATAAAGCTTCTGTGTCACTCGGGGATGATATCACGGCACGGCTCTGTCCTAATAAACGAGTTTTATTTATTAAGTTGTGTTTAACACCAAGCAAGCATCGGTCGTGTTGCTTTGACGCCGTTGAACGCAACTCGTTGAACTTTGGCACGCAAGTGGTGAAATGGGCGTGCCCAATCCGCTTAGCGTGCAGTCTTGTCGCGAGTGAGTCAAGAAAGCCAAGCCGAGTTGCAGTTTCCCTCCGAAATAATGACGCTTTTCACCACAAGGGACGAGCCGAGGTAGGAAACATCCAAAAAATGTTGACTGTGCAACGTATTGACGACTCGATTGAGGAAAACGTTGCATGTTTTGTCGGTTTAAAAGTGATCGCTGACGGCTTGTCTTGTAACTTGTAGCTGTCCTGAGTGCAGTGCAGTGTTGTCCAAGTATTAAAGTTTATGAAGTGGTTACGAAGAGCAGCATTTCACAACTTTTGTTGAACCCAAGCGAATATTGAACATTAAAAAAATAAAATAAATCACACCACCAAACAAAAATGTCAATAGTTAAGTGTTTCTCTTTTTTTCTTTTTTTAATACACAAAGTGACACTTTAAAAATACTTACAAGTTTTCCAAGTACACTTTATTGACAAATAACCAACATTTCAACACAGTGGCAAAGTAAACTAGTCTACATGCAATACCAGGCAGTCTTTCTTTCTAAAAATTATACCTGTATTTATTTTTGTAAATCAACATTGAACATTAATGCGGCACTTAATGCTTAAATTAAAATGTATTGCAGAAAATGTTCATTCAATGATGTTTTTTTTTTGGTTTAAAATCGTCACTGTTATTAAAGAGTAAAATAAAATGTTTTGTACTGCACTTGAAAAAGTTCAATACAACTGAACCGTAGTTTGCTGGATGTCTTCTATTACAGTATATCATGTCATCCGCTGACGACGAAAAAAGTAAAAATCCGCGGACCGGCGGTTGGGGACCCCTGCATTAGAGTGTCTCGCTTCTCTGATCTATTGCCCTTTTTGTGAATACCCCATGGTTCAATTTCCTTGTTGCTTTTGTCCCTGTTTGGGTTTTTTTTAGGCCTAATAGGACCCTGAGATCTCGAAAACAGTTGACTTTACCTCTGATGTCTTCTATTACAGTATATCATGTTGTTATCCGCTGATGACGAAAAAAGTAAAGAAAAAACTATTTTGACAAAGTAACAGAAAATACAGAGATAAGCATTTTAAAATATAAGGAGTGAAAAGTCATCAGGAAAATGAATACTGGAGCCAAGTACACACAGTACAAAATGTATTTAACAAGTAACAAAGTCATTGAACTTCTTAATACTGCTCTTGTTTCAAATGAATCACGTTGCAAGAATGGCACCAGGATACCTTCTGCCATCTAGTGGAAGGGCATTGAATTGTTCTGCTTCTCACTACGTTGCTGGCATAGATAGATGAACAATGATACTTTATTTTGTCGTCAATCAAGAATAATTTTCGCACCAATGAAATGAAGTTTGGTGATTTTTCAACAGCAGAGTAGCTGGAAATCACTGACATTGAGTGTGACGGCTTCTGATAGGCTCTAAAAAGAAGAGTTGGAGATGGAGGACTTTTGGGCTGTTGTGGTTTGGGCTGGGAGGATCTGGCTGTGCCTGATCGTCAGCCTCATTATGATCCCTGCCATGTTTGGCTTCTCACTGGGCATCTCGGAGACCTACATGAACATCTTGGTCAAAATATTGGAGGTACAGTACTTCAAATCTAGGCTCCAGGTTTTTTTTTTGTGTGCTTTGGTTAAAAAAAAAAAAAAAAAAAACTGCATCTACGGTTAACTGAAGATTTTAAATTGTTCGTGTGCATGTGCGTGTGCGTGTGCGTGTGCTGTGCGTGTGCGTGTGCGTCTTGGTCAAAATATTGGAGGTACAGTACTTCAAATCGAGGCTCCAATTTTTTTTGTGTGTGCTTTGGTTAAAAAAAACTGTGTGTGTGTGTGTGTGTGTGTATGTATGTATGTAGAGTTGTTTGTATCCGCCATGTATGTGTGTGTGTATGTAGAATTGTTTGTATCCGCCATGTATTTAATTAGCTGACGACCAGTCCAGGGTGGACCCCGTCTCTCGCCCAAAGTCAGCTGGAATAAGTTCCACCTTATCTGCAATCATGATGAAAACAACTAGACTATCAAAAAAAAAAAAAAAAGAACAGATAGGGTAAAAACTTTTTTTTTCTCTTATTAGTGGGCCACACTAAAGTTGCAGAAGGCAACAACAGAAGAACATGCACTCAAAGCTTCTGCATCCAGTGGTAAGTACAATCGATGGATTACAACGCGTACGCGCTGTTCACGCGCCAGGTTTTTGCGATATAAAAATAAATAAATACATAAAATGACCCACACAATTCAACTGGAAATGTAAAAAATATCCTTCGGAAAGGGGCAGTGAGAAATAACTGTAAGTACAATCGATGGATTACAACGCGTACGCGCTGTTCGCGCGCCAGGTTTTTGCGATATAAAAATAAAAAAAATGCATAAAATGACCCGCACAATTCAATTGGAAATGTAAAAAATATCCTTCGGAAAGGGGCTGTGAGAAATAACCAGATCATGTGGTTGAACTAAGGTGCACGCCCTCTTCTGAGTGGGGGCGTGGCTGTATGCAGAATCAACCAATCAAACTTATGTTGAATGGGATTCAGCACAGACTTGTCACATTTTAAATGAATTTCATTCATCGGCTCAAGCTATTCTAGTGGCTTTTTGCTGACTTTTAATTTCATTTTGTCTAGCAGAAGCCCAACTGGTTTTTGGAGTTTGCATGGGCCGATATTAGATTCTACCGGTGTGACAACGGTGTGTATTAAAACTACAGCTCTAAAATGACCTTTTTTGAAATATCTAGGTCAATAAAAACAGTTTTTCCATTGAGCACAATGTATTGTATTTGCTTTTTTTTTTTTTTTTTTACTTATTTATTTTTCAGAGGACAATGCACATGAATTAACAGAAAAAATGCATCTGAGTTTGTTTGTATCCGTGCGTAGCTGTTGATATTACAAAAACCTGGCATTTGAACAAGTAGATTGATCACTAGGACTCGCTGGCCCTTTAACAATTTTTTTTTTAATGTATTTATTTATTTCTTTTTCCGAGGACAATGCACATGAATTAACAGAAAAAAATGCATCTGAGTTTGTTTGTATCCGTGCGTAACTGTTGATATTACAAAAACCTGGCATTTGAGCAAGTAGATTGATCGATAGATAGATAGATAGATAGACAGACAGACAGATAGATAGATAGATAGATATTGTGAAATACGGAGGCGCAGCAACAGACGTGCCGCAACGTGCAATTTCTTCATGTGGTTCGAGCCAGGCAAAGCATGCTGAAAGACCACAAAAAATAAGATGTAGCAACGAATGTGGCTTTCTTTGCAGGCAGCGATCCAATCCAATCCAATCCAAGCTGAAAGACCACAAAAAATAAGATGTAGCAACGAAATGTGGCTTTCTTTGCAGGCAGTAAACACAAGTCGCCGTGTGCGTTTATGACAGGCCACAGGGTCAAGTTGCGGAGGGAGCTATCTCACAAGATGCTATTACTCAACGCCGGTATCACGCATGCTGTGGTAGACCCTTTGTAGGAAGGAGTGGGGGGGAAAGCGTTTTACAGTCAGTGCGCATTTCAAATCCTCCCGTATGGAGAATTATTTTGGGCCATGGCCCAAGATGAAAAGAAAACCATGATTACGCCACAAGTTAAAAGTCGTTATCGTGCGAGACTAAAAACAAAGAAAGAAAGAAAAAGTTACATATATTTTAGATAAGTCCCATATAGTCAAAATGAAAGTTGTATGTATTTGTGATTAGAGTAATATATTTTCCAAGTGAATACTGGCACATTCTTAAGAAAAAAAATTGCGCAACATATTTTGGAGCGAAGTTTAATTTATTTAGAGAGAGAAAAAAAGTTTTTTTTGTGATTTATTTTAAAAAAGCATTTATCACTCGAAAAACCTTTTATATCACGATTTGGTAAAATGAGTATGTTTTCACACATCTGTAAACGTGGATATTATTTTTACAAATTATTGATGAATCTAAAAGTATTGAAAATGGCTCTCTATGAACATTTGGTGTTAATGGTTGAACAAACGTGATGTTTTTGGGGCTACCCGGAAAAGTGGTGATTTTGGATGTGCATATTTTCAAGATGAAAATAATAGTTTTGAGCAAAGCCTGCGTTTTCCGATTTAAAAAGTCGTACATTTTATGAGAACCGCAGTAAAAGAAAGAAATGGATATTTTTAGATAAGTATTTTTCAAAAATGTCTATTTACAAGACTGAAGTTGCAATTTTCTAAGAAAAGTCTTTTTTTTTTTCTTTTTTTTTTTTGATTAAGTATATTATATTAGAGAAGAAGGTTATAAGATTTCGGGATTGAAAGCCACAGTTTCCAGATAGCCTCCTCAAATGTTTTTAGACTTGCATCACCCCTTTCTATGAAGAAAGAAACAAGCTACGTCAGCTTCCAGCGCTTGCAAAGTGTCTCACTGTTAAATTTATCATTACATAACCCAGTCTTGAGTCAATATAAAAAGCATGTGTGCTTAAGCGGGTAGTAATGCACCAATAATTGCACATTTGTCCAACTGTGATTGGACATTTGAATCTATGCTGTTATCTGTCATCCTGGATTTTGCCCTCTCTGCTATCAGTTGAAACCAGATCAACTTTTGTGATGACATCTTTCAAGTGGATTGTCACTTTTGCTCGCCCCGTGTTGTGTCGGGTTAAGCTGACATTAAAATGCATGTGCGATGTTGAGCTGTCTGAAAATGTTTTTTTATGTCATTTATGTGTGTGCGTGTGGGTGTCAGCTCTCATCCAGAGGGAAGACGGCTCCATGGAGAAAGAGTTAGAGGAACTAAGACGAAGTCGCCCCAAACCTCCAGTGGGCGGCGATTTCACACTTAGCGACTGCTTCTATTTCACCCGCCGAGGAATTGAGAGCATTGTGGAGGATGAAGTATGACCCGTGACTTTGTTTCACGTCATGAACAGCAGTTATCATCCGAATTTTTTGAAATTCAGCTTTCGATTGAAGGTGACCCAGCGGTTCACTTCAGAGGAGCTGGTGTCTTGGAACCTTCTGACCCGCACCAACAATGACTTCCAGTACATCAGTCTGAGGCTAACGCTGGTCTATGGACTTGGCATTTTTGTCCGATACTGCATCCTCGCACCTCTCAGGTTTACACACATGATTTAGTTATTGTTGTTGTTGTTGTTTTTGATGTGTCCCTTGGGTGTCTTTGAGGAAGCAATACCACTATAAAGGGAGTCCCGGAGACATAACATCATAAGATTCCATGAAATAAAAATTTGCTCCTTAGTGTTGGGGGTAAAATAGGAGCTGTAGGCTCTGTTTCATACTATAATCAGTACTCTGCATTACCATGAGACAGAACTTCCTCCTTAAAATTAGTTATTTATTCATACTATTCCTTAACTGTTAAAAAAAAAAACCTTAGATCAATAATCATAGAGTTTATTATATTAGACCCACTCTTCAGGCTGGACCATCTAATTAAAACTCATAAAAGGTAATCAACATGACACACTACAGTATTATTCATTACTGGCTCTGTTAGTATGACACATTCTCTTTTTGAGAACATTGAAATGCTTCACTTTTTCAATTTTTGACACAGAAAGCTTTACAAAACTCAAGTCTACTGTGGACAAGACGGAATAATCGTGAGCTCGACGTCATTGAAGTATGCCGATTGCTGACATACAGACACCTGCGTCTGCTCAAACAACACAAACACACTTAAGAAATCACATTCTAGCATTCTCGACTGCAGTGAAAGCATTGACAATTAGAAGTGGTCTAAAGAGGCTACGATAGAAGTGTGTCCATCAAAGTAAGCAAAGTAATGCCTAACGGCGGCCAGAAGATTAAAATCAAGGTTCCTCTCGGTTAGTGTTCCATCAGTGTAACCACAAACCGAAAATGTGTTACTTGAGTTTAAATGTTCACAGGAATAGAACAATTGGTTCCAGGCTTTTTTTTTTTTTTGTTGTTTTTGTTTTTTTAGAAAACTGTCAGTGTTGCAAACCACGCATTGCGTTCTCTCCTCAGGATAACTCTGGCCTGCATTGGCCTCACCTGGCTGGTCATCGGGACATCTGCAGTGGGGCTGCTCCCCAATTGGAGGTAGCTACAAACCACACTCTCAACTATCCCTTTGACTTTTTATGATTAGCGTCGCAGTTTTCAATCTCATGCTCTGTATCTGTTGTCAGGGTGAAGTTCTGGCTCAGTGAGTGGGTCCACGTCATGTGCTACAGGATCTGTGCCCGAGGCCTCTCCGCTGCTATCCGCTATCACAACAGGCAAGCGAAACAGAGACAAAATGCTGCAAATGAAGGTCTTTGATTTGTCTTGACACGCTTTCCTTTTGGTGCATCAGGGAAAATATACCCCAAAAAGGAGGCATTTGTGTGGCTAATCACACCACCCCCATTGACATCGTGATACTCTGCAATGATGCCTGCTATGCCATGGTAAGAAGGGGAATACCCATTCATGACCTACATTTTAGTCATTCCTAGACGAGATCGTTTTAGTCCAGCTTTAGTTGACAAAAAAAAAAAAAAAAAGGATTCCTCATTAGATGCACATCACATAACTCAAATTCAACAGCTATTTTTTGACAAAATACTATTATGATAAGAAAATAGAATGGCCTCAACTATCGAACAAGTAAAACAAAAATATGATTTAGTAGCATATTAACCACATGACGAGCACCCACCCTGTACTTCAGCTTTCTGATCTTTCTTTTCGAGCACTGGCCAAAACTATCATGTATATGGAGTTTGTTTTGTTTGTTTTTTTTTTTGTTTTTTTTGTTTTAATTTATTTCATTGGGACAGTGCACATTAATCAACACAAGAATAAACAGTGTAAATGCGCCGGACTTAGCATAAATGTTAATTTTCAGCAGTAGTCCCAAGGCAGGTTTCTAAAATAACACAGTGAGACACATAAACTTTAAGACCACAATGACAGAAATAAAAACCAAATGAGTAAGACATAATGAAAGAAGGCAAAGCAACCAATTGATTTTGCCCAGGTTGCAGAGGTTGATGTTCAGGTAGCTCAATTAGCAATGGATGTAGCCCAGATAGCCTAGCATCCAGGTGGTTTATGCTCTGTTGTAATGGTCCTGGGTTTATTTCAACATCGCCAGCAAGAAGCAGAATCAACAGCAGGTGCACAACTCTCAGGAGAGGTTTAGAAGATGCTGGCAGTTCATGTTTACCAGGTGGAGTCCTAGCATGGCCCTCACCCAGTATTCTTGTAAAGAGAAGATGTTGGCTCACCTTTACTTGTCAGGCTTGATCACTGGTTTTATCCTTCCTTTGTTGAAACGTTTGACACAGCAACAGGTCCAGAGTTACACAAACAAGTAACAGATGGGCTGATGGCAAAACCCCTCGTCTTTGAAGGTTTCCTAAGCGCTTTTGTGACTGTTCCACAGCGGCCATCTTTGATTTAAAAAAAAAAAGATGTGTATGTGTGGGCCCCCCAACTTGATTGTAAGCATGCTGCTAACGTTACAGAAGCCGAGTATGCTGTTCATTTCAACAGATGGGGAACAGGAACCTGTCTAAAATGCTACATTTACCTCCATTTTTCAGTAACTCAAAATTGGGTTATTAAGACAACTTGCTGCCTGGACAGTAACACACACACAAGGTAACGCATTAATGTTAGCACACACAAAGCTAACTTTAGCCTGAAGATGACTAGCAACCCCTTAATGCCAGGAGTTATGTGGAAAACTTTGAGCTTCATAGGAAGTTTTTCACAAGGCACTTGTTGAGTAACGTGTAAGATTTAAAAAGTTACAAGTCCTCTTAAGGTATCTTCAAATGAGCGCCTGCGTGGCAAGCGTGCATTTTCAATATCTGACAGACCAACCTTTAAATTTTTGATCGTCTTGTTTCGTCAACGGAAACTTACGCACATCTCATCGTCTTTCAGTCATCAAAGAGTTAGCTTGTCACTGACATGTTGAAAAGAAAAAAAAAAAGGTTATCAATGAAACCATTCAATATGGTCAGTAATGAAGAAAACCACACCGTTGGGAGTCTGTGTAGAACTCAGGAAGAAACGCAAACTACGCACAGGAAGGCCATAGCCAAGATTCGAAACCGGAACCTCAGAACTGTGAAGTAGACAATCACTAATCACTCTATATTTGTCCTGGCGAAGATGAACACGTGACTCTTTCTTCTTGTAAACCATGTCAAAAGTGTGCAAAATCAAACCACGTGTGTTAGGTGGGCCAGGTGCACGGAGGTCTCATGGGGGTGATCCAGCGGGCCATGGTGCGATCCTGTCCCCACGTGTGGTTCGAGCGAGCCGAGATGAAAGATCGTCATCTGGTGACCAAGAGGTCAGTTGCACATATTTGACCCTCCGTGCTTGCCATCGCTTTCCTAAAGTTCCTAAAGTTGTGATATTACAATTAAAAAAATATGTCATTTTGCAACAAGTCCACATTTTATGTGAAAAAACGAATTCTACATTGTCATCATGTTATGAAACAACAAAACAAATGACAAAGTTGTGGTATTATGGCAAAAAACAACACCCCAAGGTTTATAGCAAGAAAGTTGAAATAGTATGAGGAAAAAAAAATCCAGAATGATCCAAGACTAAATAAACTATACTACAAGAAATATCACAATTGAATTTTATTTATAAAAGAAAAAGCGTACATATTTAGTAATTGAATTAAAATGTCATGCTTATAAAAAGTAAATAAAAATTACATCTCAAAAGTATAAAACAAGACTTAAAGATTACATTTGAATGTCGTGACCCTTTGTTAGATGCACTTGGTTATACCAGAAATTGATTCATGTACCGCTAGAGGGAGCCCTCGTACCACTACTGGCACGCATACCACACTTTGAGAATCACTGCAGTAAAGCATATATTTGCAAAAATGAAAAATGGTTACATTAATTTGTTTGTTACTTAAAATTTCCTGTGCTGTATTTAAACTGGCAACAGTTTCCATGACCTCTCTGTGTCACCCTCAGGTTGAAAGATCACGTGAATGACAAGACAAAGCTCCCCATATTGATATTTCCAGAAGGCAAGTTGAAACGCCGGTGTGATGTTTTTCTTGGTAGCGTCACTGCAGGTTGTTATTTCATCTCTGAGTGATGACGGGTACGACAGTCCATAATGTGGTTTTGGACCTCACGCATACACATGCTCTCCTTGTCTCACTTTTGGATGTTGTTGCTGTTTGGTGTCCATAGGAACCTGTATCAACAACACGTCAGTCATGATGTTTAAGAAGGGGAGTTTTGAAATTGGAGCAACAATTTACCCCGTTGCCATAAAGGTATTTCGGTCACTTGTTTTGTCCTGTTTTTTTTCTGATCATAAGGATTCATCGCCATATTTTATTTTACATTTCATGTTTTTGTATGTGAACGCTTTGATTTGGTGAATCAAATCGAAACTCATTTTCTGATTCAAACCTGTTTTTATTTCGGCCCAAGTAATTAGCATATTATTGATTTTTTTTTCCCAATTTTTTTGATGTTATTCTCTTGGTTTTCCAATCCCAGTATGACCCCAAGTTTGGAGATGCCTTCTGGAACAGTTCCAAGTACAGCATGGTGAACTATCTGCTGAGGATGATGACCAGCTGGGCTCTTGTCTGCAATGTCTGGTATCTACCCGCCATGCATCAACAGGTCTGTGCAACATGTCACTGCATATCAGACACACACACACACACACACACGGACACACACACGGCGTTAGGCCGAGACGTTGATTCTAAACTGGCATGCAGGAGGGGGAAGATGCCGTCCAGTTTGCCAACAGAGTCAAGTCAGCCATCGCTCACCAGGGAGGACTCGTGGACCTACAGTGGTAAGACATGACTTTTGTTTATTTGGTGTGTTTTGAAGTCAGGAGACAAAGAGTCGCTTTTAAAGTCATACACGCTCAGAGTTACAGCTAATACAGTGTAGAGTGTGAAGCTGGTGACAACAGCCATACTTACAGCTCCTATGCACATTTTCTTTTTGAAATAATGCACAGTATTTTTTGATCAGCATACTCGATGGGATAATCGGTAGAATAACGGCTTGTAAAAATATTCACAGGGACGGAGGCCTGAAGCGAGCGAAGGTGAAGGACTCGTTCAAGGAGCAGCAGCAGAAGCAGTACAGCCACATGGTGGTGGGAGATGACAGCAGTAGTAACAGCGACTGAGAAGATGCCGCCAGGACCAGACGGCTCCCCCCTCACCCCCAAAAGTCCTCTCCTCGCGACCTGGACGGACGTGCTTTCACATACTGTGTCTTGCGCAAGTGCAATAGTGAACTTTGAGGAGATGAATGGCGAATGCGCTGCTGTTATTTCTATATTTCTTGATCTTGATTGTCATGATGTTGAACGTAACTCATTGAATACAAAGAGAGTATTTGATACAAACACCGGATGCCTGATGACCACTTCATGTGCTGCTCTGTTTTTTTTTTGTTTTTTTTTTTCTAAATTAGAGTTTACAAATGTTGCCATCCCCTAATTGGCCGGGATTTTTTTTCTGGTGCATGACATGAATGTAGCAGCATGGTGTCGTAATGGTTCTCACCGCTGAGGTTCTCGGTTTGAATCTCAGCTCTGGCTTTGCTCTGTGGAGTTTACATGTTGTACCCCCTCTATCGAGAACTGCTGGAGAACATTAAATGTACACGGGAAAACATTGTGATACACAGTCGCACATAGACCAGTTTTCATTTGGTATTTGGAAATAATGCCACTCCGTTTCTAACATGCTCCAAATTTTGACATTACCCACGGATTCCTAAACAGCTGAAACAAATTGTGATGTACGGCACGTAAATAACACCAAACTTGACAATAAATGTGCCGGATGCAATTTGTGAGGTGATTAAAGTAGAACACATAAGTGGGACTTTTTGGTTGGCCGTGCGATGGAGGCTTTGCTGCATATTTGGTCCTCGACGTCTTCCGTCTTGTGCTGTTTTTCAGTGTCGTTGCCTGAAAACCAAATCAAGTGTTAGTATGTTGGGTAATCGTGCGGGATGCATGTTATTGATCGGGACTGACGGGCACCTACTTGAATTATCGGCACTGCCTTCAGTGTCCTGAAACATCAACAGATATCTTCAATATAAGTACTGTATGTTGGGGGTGGGGGTGGGCTTTTACTTGAAGGTATCTCTTACCTCTGTTAATTTACGTTTGTTTTTCTTCCTCTGTTCCAAATATCTGGAATTTGATGACAATAATAACAATGACATGCCAATGTATTGACCTTGAAGTAAGTCCAAAACAGTTGGTCACAATTTTGAATACAATCATCTTCAAACTACAGTACTTTACTACTGTAGTCGTTTATTCGATTTATTTATATCTGTGTCAGTGGTTCTCGCCATTTTACACCAAATTAACTTACAAATATTCGCCCTCTGAGTACCACCGTTGTTAACAACATTAAAAACCCTGTATCCTGAAATCTGAGATTTGTTTCTAAATGCATTATTGCCTTCACATCAGCGATGGGACGGATAAGTGGCAGCCCGCAGACTGCCCACTCTGAGTAGCTCTTGATTACTTATTGAAAATAGACAATGTTTAGTGTAGCTGAGAAGTCAGGACCAAATTCGATCAAAAAATATTGTGTCTGTTAGGTAAAATAGGCAGCTCATTGAATTTCATCACTACCCATCTGGTTAGAGACACTATTTGCCATGAAAGATTTCATCCAGTCGCCACTACAACAAAATTCCAAAAGTAGACAACAGCGATTGTTTATTTAAATTTTTTTCCCATGTGAACCGTTGACAGTTCGTTTGAAGTGCATGAGAAGTCGTTACATTTCTGTCCTCCAAAATCATAAATACATTTGCTCCATGCGCAGCACTTTGTATACAGCGGTGGTTGTTTTAAAGTGCTCCATAAATACAGTTTAGTTGAGTTGAGTTGCTCTATCGATACAAGTTGTCAGTAACCTTCCCACCGTTGCAGATATGAGTCGCAGTTCCTGTGGTCAAATTTGGCCGCCGTCTTCAGTCCATCCGGCGAGCCTACGTCCACTCGACCCGACGCTCCAGATGCAATCGGCATCTTGACACGCAGGACCCGGACGCCAACCATACGGGAGAAGAACTTGCGCTCATTTGGATGCAGCCCAGCAGTCCATTTTGTCATGCAGGATTTCAAAAGATCCCTGAATTTTTTGTTCTTTTTTCTCAGTGAATGAGCAACAAGTAGTGGCCTCTTTGAGTTCATGTGAGGGGTTTGTTTTCATATCCATGGCAACTGTCAGGGGTGTTGTAAAAGGGGATTGGCGGTGCAATTGGGGTGAATTTGAGAATGTGTAAAATTGGATCCTTGACACAGAATAAAAATGAGGACCAAATATTTGTGTTGTCATAGTGACTAAAGTCTTCAACAGTGATGGATGCACTGAAACAAAATCAAAATAAATGTGTTTTTTTTAACTTGCCTATATCTACTGCTCCTATTCATTCTTATATATAATGAAAATGATTCAAAACATATAAAATATTTCTACAGAATTTGTAACTTGTCACTGCATTTTTTTGTGCTTATGTTATCAAAAATATTTGGTGATATTTGTTATGAAGTAAATATTTTATATCACACACATACAGAAGAGATGACCTAGTGTACAAAAATTTTATGAATTTGTATAATGAGCAAATATTTTTTTCACTAAATCTACATTGGGGTTTTTTAACTTGTGTGTCTTTCTTCTGATAAAAATGATTTAAAAAAATATTTCAAAAAATCTGCATCATAGTTATCTTCAGCAAAATCTACTGACTAAAACTTGCCTGTATGTACTTACCAAGGTCTAACAAATTAATTTTTAAAAAATCGGCTAAATTAATTTTCTCAATAAAGTTGCAAAAACTTGAAATTACAAATGTATTTGTAATTTTTACTTATCTCTGGGTATACTTTCTTCTTATTTTCCTTTTCACTGTATATAACCAAAAAAAAAAAAGGATGCTAAAATTTGAAGCCTGAAGTATTGTGGAATTTTCCATCCATTTTTAATGTGGTTCAACATTGAGTGGGGTAGTTGAGATTCGCTGTTTGGGACTTTTGAGCTCATGCATAAATGTGTGGGTGGTATGACAAGAAAGTTATTTGAAACTTGGAAGAAAAAAATTACAGAGTTATGGAAAAGATTGACCCTGTTGTGGACAGTACAGTTACAGTATTTATTCCAGCGATTTCAAGGACTGTTACGGGCCTCGTTCAGGACTCTTCCTTCTCATCTCCGTGTGTGATGATGTAGCAGAGGGACTTGTAGTCGATGTTTCCTGTCGGGTCGATGGGAGCCAGCGCAAAGGCCTGATCTACCTTTTTAAGTAAAGTCAGAGGGAACATCACTGACGGCTCACAGTTGGAAAAAAATATATATTTCAAAGGCTGAAAGAATATAAACCGACCTCCTCTTGTGTGAATTTATCCGCCTGGTTCAACAATAGTCGACGAAATCTGGACCAGATGAAGAATATACCGATTGAGCTTGCATTAAAAGTAAATAGAGTGTGAGATGGGTGGATTGTCAGGACCTACTCTTCCTTGTTGACAAAACCTGTCGCGTTGGGATCGAACAGCTTAAAGGCAGCGAGTATGGTGTCCTCTGGATCAGTGCCTGCAGACGAATCACGAGCAAATCACAACCCGGCATCGTGGAAACGATTCTTCTTGGCAATGAGATCAATTCTCACCGTTGAGTTTCTCGCCAAACAGGGACAAGAAGACGGTGAAGTTGATTGGTCCTTTGCCCTCGTTCAACATTTCATCCAGCTCCTCTTCCTTCACGTTGAGCTTTCCTGACACACGCAAACACGTTGAATGATGTTAATTTTGCATTTTCTGAGTGTAGAACGGCGGCTCTGCAAGAGGGAGGGATGCGTTGCTGAGGGTGTGGTCACAGGTGACTTCAATCATGCCCAACCAAAGGGGCTCCTTTCATTCCTTTTTAAAGCAGCAGCCTAATAGTGTACTAGAGGCTCGACATGCCAGAAGCCCAGTTGCAACGTGGCGTGAACTTTTGGAGCGCACCCCCCCCCACCCCCCCAGCCCTTTTAAACATACAGTGCATGCATTTTTCCGACTTATGTGATGAAAGGATCACAATTTATTTAAAAAAAAACTCGTAAAAATAATCAAAATGAAGTCCTAGTGGTACACATGTCACAAAGCCTCCTCATGGCAAATTGCTACAATACTATACAGAAATAAAATCATCTGGATCCAGATACATTTTTTAAGTAGTCTATACATCTACTTTGTAAAATGTATCGGAATCCAGATGATTTTATTTCGTGCAGCCACTTGACAAAATAAGTCCATTCAACACACCGTTTTTTTTTCTTCAGTATAATTCACTTACAGCATATTGCACTTTTAATGTAAATATATTTGGATTTTATCTGAACCATTTCCTGCACCCTGTAATCTGATAACATGATCAGCCGTCCATTGTCGTAACTGCTGTTCTTTATACAGGCGCAGTGTTCAAAATGCATGATGTTTCATGGCTTACCATAGTTTGAAATATATCTTTTTTGGATAAAACCTTTTGTTTCATTTTTAGGACTTCTAGCTACTGCATTTTAATGTTGTCATAGTGATGGTACTTGGAAAGGTGATTTTTTTTTTTTTTTTTGTGAAGCACGAGTACAGAAGAAAAGCCTACCCAGTTGTGCATAGGTCTCCTTCAGGTCTTGCTTCTTAATAACACCATCTCTGTCTTGGTCGATGCAGCCAAAAGCCTATCGAAAACAACAATGGAGCCCTTCTGATGCGTTCTCTTAATTGATGTGTTTTCGTACTTACCTCCTTGAACTCTTGTATCTGGGACTGCTCAAACATGGAGAAGACATTGGAGCAAGCCTTCTGTGCTCCTCTCTGTCTCTTATTGGACGCTTTCTTGCTTGCCTACATCATTTATAACGTTAAAATCATATCGTGGATCTTGTGTTTTTCTGAATTCTTACCATGACTGCGTGATCCCGCGTGGACTCCCGGCCTAGGCCTGATGCCGGGGTGGGTTTTATGCGGGGCCAGTGTTATCTTCTCCCGCTTATAATAACCAGTGGTGGGAGCGCAGACCCTTACATGGATACAATTGCTGTCCGCGTGTCGCCGAAGGGAGCTGATAAGAGGAGATGCAGGATTCCACCGGGCTGGGGAGTGGAGATATGCCAAGTAGGGTGGGCCAACGAGAGTGACCCTTGATGCTTGACAGTCCTATAATTTTGCTCGGCTCAGATTGTGACTTCAAATAACGATAAATCCATCAGTAATCGTTACCAAGTAAATGGATGGCTAGATGGATGGATGGATGGAGGAAATGCAGTAGTTCCAAATATGTTCTGAAATAGCTCAACAGTTTGAAAGCAAAATGTGGAAATTGCAGTAGTTGTAGGAGTAGTAGTTGTGAAATGAGCTGAACAATTTGAACTTTGAGTGGGTTCAATTGGTCAAAAAATGTGGAAGGAGGAAATAAATGTTCCTAAAATGTCCTGAAGGAGTTGAACATTTCAAAGCAATGGCTTCAAACGGTCAAGACGTGGAATTAAGTAAAGTAAAACTGAACTCGATCCTAATTTCAGAATTTTACTGTGAAAAATCTTTAAATGTTAAGAATGTGGTTAAAAAAAAAAAAAAAAAAAAGAACATGCGAACTTGAGATTCAAAAACAAACCCCCAGATCAGTGAGGCAGATATGTATGAAATAGCGATATCGTGGTGGGTCATATTTGTGGTGTGGTATTGATAAAAAAAAGCGTCAAATCGCTGTGTACTTATGGAACTTTTATTTTTCATCTTGACACAGATTTTCTTGATGCATTGTAGACCATTTTCTACCAAGGCTGTAGCCCAAACTGTATTGTTACATTATTGCTATTGTTGCTCCAACCTATAATTGACTGCATGCTGTATTCTGCACTACACAGCGATTCTCAAAGTGTGGCAGTAGTACCACTGATGGTCGTCGGGTTGTAGTTCACTTTTTGTACAATTTTCCTCTATTTAGGCACAGTGTTAATGTTTTCAACTGTGCATAATGGTAAAGTAATGCACAATCATAATATGATTTTCATGAACACTTAGACCTACTATGCTACTGTATTTTAATGTTGGTCATGATGGTGGTACTTGGAGCGCTCAGTTTTTTAAAAAATTTTTTAGGTTGCACTTGGTGAAAAAGCTTTGAGAATGACTCAATTGGAATATCGTAGAAAAGTTCATTTATTTCAGTAGTTCAATTCAAATAAATGAAACTCATGATTCAGTCAGTACAAAGTCAAATGCTTTCCTTTTCAGGTCGTTTCCTTCCCAATTTGTACATTGTACTTTGATGGTCTCTAATTTCATAATTTGGAAACATGGTGATTTAAGCCTTTTTCGTTAGCTGTAAACTACAGTCATCAAAATTGTAAAGAATTAAATCATGAAAAATTCCACTTTATAAACACAAAGTGAAATATTACAGGATTTTTTTTTTTTTTTGATGACTCGACATATGAGGTTCACTTTTTGAGCAGAACTACTGAAAAAAAAATTCCGCACAATATTCTTATTGAGATGCACCGGTATTATGCTTATATGCCAATGGAAATTACCCAATACTCCACAGACAGCGACTGTCAATTACATTTTCCAGAAAGCGGTATTGACTGAAAATGAATATGACTCCACAAGACAGCAACGTGTTTGATTCAGTCAGATTGTTTTCTTCAACATATGTATAATAATATCGAAGCTTATTTTTAGATATCAACCAGTCACTAGTCCATAAATCAGTAGAAAAAAAAATGAACTGCCATCTTAATTTCTTCTGAAGAAAAAAAAAAGAAGTGGCTACTACCGGACAATCTGAGTTAATATCACGATACGGTGCCTTTCAGACTTGCCCGTTTTACACGAAAAAGTGGAGATTTTCCATTGAACTTAATTTATATTGTGTTAAGTTGATGTTATGTCGTTAGAAATGCATGTCGGTCAAGCTTCCATACTTTTATTTCTACAAGCAGCATTTGATGAGCATATGGTGGTCCTGAAAATAGCGATGTGATTGAGTTAGCAAGTTAACTGTGTATTGTTTTGCAAATATGTATACTGTCGTGCCTTGAGATATATCAACAGATATTTCACTATGATGGAAATCCCGTGAACCTTCCTAGTTGCCGTCTTCCTGTGCTCTCAAAAGACAAATATGGATGCAGCATACTTTTTTTTTTTTTTTTTGGAGATGTCAACAGTCAAATTCAACGGTCTTGCCAGGTCCACCTTTCACCGCGCCAGCATGCTGGCCGCCATCTTGCAGGCCACCGCTGAAATGAGAGCCGCCCCTCGACCGCTTCCTTCTTCCGACTGGATGAAGGTAATCTCACAATGTGGCGTCAGCTCTCTGACTATTTTGTGGAACCTGTCACGAAAGCTACAAACAAATAAACAAACACCAAACACATTTAGCCTCATTAAAAAGAAATATTTTGATGGTGTCAGCTACTAAGGAGTCAAGTCCGAGACAGGTCCAAGACCATCAAAATGTGGTCTTGAGACCAAGACCAGTCTTGAGTGTTTCAACACCAGTCAACAGTATAAGTTATTATTTTTGGTTTGTACAGTACATTTCAGTCTGTACTTTTTTACTTTTACCTAAAGGGGAAGTCAAGTCAAAAATGTTCTTTGCAATATGTTCTATATGCCCCTACTAGCCTAAAAAGGCACTCTGTGCAGTATTTCATTTGTAGAATAGGAATTAAGTCACAAAATCCACCTGATTTATCCATTTTGTCATTTGTTGTTGACTGAAAATGACATGGCAGTTACTCAGGGCTGGATTTTGCCACAAATAATTTTGTACATGTGTATAGTTGACATAAGTAGAGAGCGTGAGTATCTTGGCCTTCTCCGTCCATTTCTCACCATGGGTGCATCTTGTAAACGGAGCCATCCACACCCACGGTGATGTTGAGTGCCTCCAGGCCACGTCGTTCCCTCATCAGGTTGATGACGCCAGCGAGGCCGGCGGCACACATGTGGGCAGAGCGAGTAGAGACGCTCTCGCAGACCAGACCCACGATGTCGCAGTCCAGCTCGGACGGGAGCACACCCATTGATGACAAAATATTGTAGATGTGCTTCCTGTCACCCGAGTCACTGGAAAGGGTCATAAATAAATAAATAACTGGGAAAAATTGGGTCATATTTTGAGCATGAAATCCACCTTTTTGTCAAGAAAATGTGGTGAAATTCTGAGAATAAAGTCATACATTGAAAGAATGGATGGTAATGTTTTCAAACACCCTAAATTAGGTTGCAGTTGAGGGGGTTTTGTGGCAAAAAGCTGAAGGACCCAAGTGCAGTGAAGCAAGGAGGCGAAAGAGGTCAGAACCTCTTCCAACCTTTTTTTTGGAAGGGGGCTAAAATTCTGCCGTTCTTACGAAGCTTACCTTTGACCCTAATGCTCACCTTTCCACCTGCGAGACATGTCTGGTCTCGAAGCTGCCGCGCGTCTTGAGCATCTCCGAGGCCTCGCCGTTGAACAGCAGGTTCTCGTTGACCAGCTTCATCATGACGAGCCTCACCAGCTCGCCCATGTACTTGCCGCTGATCAGCTTCTCAAAGCTGCAGGGGAACACGGGCCCAAAAAAAACCCCCAAAAAATCAGTCGGGCTTGAAACCGACACAAGCAAACACAAGACGCTCGAAAAGGCCGAGTGACGTTGGCTTCAGCGGCTGTCCGGCATCAAAGGTAAACAGCCATTAGGCCGACAGGCGCTGTGGCGAGCTCATTAATCTGACACCCTCAACCAGAGGCCGGCCGCTGACGTATGAGGCCCCGCGGCCATCTATAAACATCCTTCAGCAAGAGCAGCCCGTAGCTGAGCAACCAGCACCGGGAGCTCAGGTGAGCGTTGGCTGAGCAGTACCATATTGCGCTAATTGATGCCCAAAAGAAGAGTACCCAGGGAACACAGATCTCCACCACATCCGTGCTTCCAACACAAAACAAGGTCAATCAAGACACGGATGAACTTGTCTGGCCTTCACAGAGTCCTGACCTCAACCCAATAGAACACCTTTGGGATGAATGAGAACAGAGACTGAGAGCCAGTATTATTACTGTCCAATGTCTAAATTAAAATTAACCCTGACAGGGACAGCGGTTACTACAGTGGACAGCTTATCATGTTAGCAGATTAAAGGGTGTATGAAAGGGGTAAAAGTCTTTTGTTATTTCCATCTAAAACAATAGACTGTACCGACTGTACAAATGGACTTTAACTTAAAATTTGGCCAATTTATAACTAATTTGGGGTTTCAGTGTGTCTGTGATCCATATTTGGCCTGTTTGACACATTTGTCCGACTCACAGCTGCTGTCCAGGGTTGATGGAGGTCTCGTCCACCACCCTGTCGTACTCCAGCCTGAACTCCTCCAGCTCGCCGTTATCTCCAAATGCCCCCCACTCCGTGTTGACACACATGCGGCCCTCCTCGCCTTCCACCAGCTCCACCGTGCTCATCTCCTCCATGTAACAAGCGTTACAACCCGTACCTGAGAAACGGAAACATACAGGAGGTCATTTGTGTTAAGCCATGTGAGAAGAAAGGTTTCGGACTCATTTGTTGTCATCATTTCATACCAACAATCATTCCCACTTCACAGCTGCGGTCTTCGTAGTAGCACGAAATCATGGTGGCCACTGTGTCATTCACCATGGCAACGACGTCCATCTCAATGTCCTGAATGGCATCACAGTGGCAGTCAGTGTTTTGTTTTGTTTTTTTTGTTTTTTTTGGTGCAGCCTTCCATCCAGTTTGTATAGCACTTGTTATCTTTAAGGTCGTGTAACCACAAATGCATCCATCCATTATCCGAACCGCTTTAGAGCGTCGCGGGGCGTGCTGGAGCCTATCCCAGCTGTCTTTGGGCAGTAGGCGGGATGCACCCTTAACTGGTTGCCAGCCAATCGCAGCATTACCACAAATTAAATGTCATATGGTAAGATTTTAAAAGCCATAGTATAAGGAAAATAAAGCTTTAATTTTCAGAGTTGTGATTCAATGAGAATAAAAATTGTCAATATGTGAATTTTTTTTTTTTACTTGAGGGCAAAAAAGTAGCCGTATGAGGAAATAAGGTGTATTCATACAAACATGAAGTCTGATTGATCTTTTTTGAATTTGTCATACAATAAGGGAAAAAAGTTGTCATTTCACAAAAATAATGACAGTTAAAAAGAAATTCTGACACAATCAACAAAATACTCTTGCATGCCCGATTTTACTTTTCCTTGGTTCTGATTGTTCCAAGTGTTTCCTTGTGCACAAACGTACCCCTCGTCTCTTGATAGCGTCTCTGAGCAACCCCACGACATTGTTCCCCTCTGCCCCAGAGGCCTTGAAACCTTTGGTCCAGTTGAGTAGGATTCCCTGCACATGCACAAACATGGCTGGGACTGTACTATACAAAAGGTAGATGACGAGAAGTGACGTCAATGGTGCTACCTTGTCGATGTCCTCGTGACGCACCGGGAAAGAGAAAGTAAAACCCAGAGGAAGTTTCTTGTGCTTGATGTTGTGCTGGTCTAAGAAGTTAGACATGCACTCTGCGATGTAGTCAAACAACTGTAAACAGGAGGACAACAATAGAAAGTGTAGAAATGATTAACAATTAACACAGGCATATATTCATTGACTGTTTTATACTGCTACATGACACACATGCTATTGGCTTGCCCATTTGTGGCATTTCCTATTATTAATGTAACACCAAATTTCAAAATTATGTGGTGGTTTTAAATACGCAGCGTGTAAGTCACTTTGTTTTATGTTTAGTTTGACAGCAAACTTAAGCAGGAGTGGCAATAAATGGCCTTGAAGCCTCTTTTCAAACAATTGTCGATGAGTGAAAGCTAACCAAGAAATCTGTTACCAGGTTATCAATATAACAAAAGAATACTATTTTTTGCTATTAACTTTTGCTCAGAAGAAGCAAATTTCCCCTGTCAGGGGTTACTTCGACAAGTCACTCGCATGACACATTCTAAAAACAGTTGAGTCAAAAATAAGCCGATTTAGGTCAAAAAGTCAAAGACAAAAAGACAAAAAGTCACTTAACTCCCCAAAATATTAACTTTTAGGCTTACTTATTTTACCCACAAAGTTCATTCAAATAACCGACAAAACACATTTTTTGAGAGCAAATACGTGGTAGCTCTTTGCAGTACCCAAGTTTGCTAATATGCTGTCAAGTCCCTCAAGTCTACAGAGAGAAAATATTTCAAGCTAAAGCTAAATATTCCAAAACAACAACCCACGTTTTGGGGTGTGTTGCCTTTCTTGACCCAGTTTTGACCACTGGATGCTCTTCTTGACTAATTTGATGGGGTTTTGAATCTCAATCCCATTAGCCAAAGTCAGCAGTGTTACACACTGAGCCACATAGCCACAATAACCCATGTGTGAGAAGAATATAACATGAAATTTACTTTAACTTCAGTTCACTGGAGACCAAGTACAGCTCTTCAGCTTGCCAAAATCCAATCCTTAATCCAATCTGCTTGGTCAAAAATAATGGAACCAAATTTGGGTAAAAGTATGCCAATGTGCTCAAAGTCCACAGCTACCTAGCTAGCGAGTCAGGAAAATAACTTTTCTTTATCCGATGAAGCGTTCACAGTCCCATGGGTCTCACCATCTCTGCAGTTCCCGTCATGGCATCTTCAGGAATGGAATACATCTGGTTCTTGGTCTCGACCTTCCAGCTCCTCTCTTCATCAGCTCCCACCTTGACTAGCATCACCCGGAAGTTGGTCCCCCCCAGGTCCAGAGCCAGGAAGTCACCCACCTCTGCCCAAACGCAAACTTCATGTAAATACACAGAAAGGCGACGAGTACGTCACGAGTGAGAGACATGATGATGTGACGGCAGTTTACCTGATCCCTCGGGGGTGGAGCAAACGTAAGTGGGCAGCATTTTGACGCTGGCCACCTCGTGCGTCTCTAAACGCAAGCCTCTGTCCATCTCACGCCGCATCCTTTTCATGATCTCTTGCAGCTCATCCTTCTGCAGCCTGAGCTCGGACAAGATTTGATCAACCTGCAGATAAACCGCAAATCAAGACCATTCCTCACAAGGCAACATTAGGCCGGTCATAAAATCTCGAGTACCATGAAGTCATGTCTATCAAATACACAGCTGAGGCCACTTGACGTCTTGACCATCTGCTCCAGACATGAGCTCACGCATGGCATCTTCACCAGCAAATGTGTTTCTAAAAGTGTAGTGAGTGTCCACGGTGTACGTGTGTGTGCATATGTGTGTGTGTGTGTATATGCAGAGTCTGTCAAGTCTGCATGCCAGTGTGGCATTGGATGTTTTTATGCTAAAGGAAAGTGGGCCGGCTCAACCTAAATGCAAACATCACAGGCCCACGCCTTCCCCAAATCGCCCCATCTATTGCGTACACACACACACACACACACACACACGCACATTTAAACTTAAACTGTAACGTCACGACTCACAAGTACGAGATGTACTTTTTCATTTTAACACAACTGATTCAATATAACCATTAGGAGTCTTTGAGACTTCCTCACTGCACTTATTTTTCATAAATCTTCATTTTCATTGTATGAAGTAGATGTTAAGCTGTTCGAAATGCGCATTGGCCAAGCTCTTATGATATGCAGAGAGTGAGCAATGACAGGAAGGACATTTTTGGCTAACGTTAGTATTTAATGAGCACATAGTGGACCTGAACTAAGCAAGATGATTCACTTAGGGAGCTGACTGTGTTCTGTTAAATAGATATATCTACATTTTCTGAAAGATTTAAAAAAAAAATCTTGATGCTATGTGACGCTTGAAAAAAATTCTGCTACACAAATGATGAAATATAAGTGAAAATATTTATTTTGCAACTATTGACAGTTTTATGTCACTGAAAACACAAGATTAAATTTTTATTTTGGAAACGTGTTTGTCTTCATATCTTCTGATGAATGATCTGCTGGAGAATGTTGTCAAATAAATACATTCAAAACATAATTATTATAATAGTAAAAGACACAAACAAAAGAAGTCTGTGTCACTTTCAAGAATGCAGTCAGACTGCATGTGTTCTGTTTTCTGTCTTCTCCTATGTGTGCACCAACTTTTTCCGTGCAGCATGGTTGCACAATATACAAGGAGGGAGTGGGGGGGGGGGGGGGGGGGGGTACGGATCTATTTGCAAAACAACAAAAAAAAAAGCATCTAAAATTAGCAACAGTACAGGATTATTGACCTGTAAAGTTAACTATGGCAGGCAACAAGGGAAGACCTTCTGTGCTTATCGGGCTTACTGCGTGACCTTCTACCCTGCTGATTAGTGAACCTTCCCACAACCTTGACACAATGACACACACAAATTTGATGTAACATAACAAAACATAACATAAGATAACATAACTCACTAGGACGGACGGACAGACAGACAGATGCTTTCATTTATTTACCTTATCCATTGTACGATGATGAGGACGTCCTGCCGATCATTGGTTCTCAGCTGCCCTCCAAAGATTTTCGTATGCTTGTTATTAAATTTGAACTGTCCTGTCTTGAGATTCAGTTGCGCTTGTGGTGTGGGTGTAGGGGGTGGAATGGACTTACTACATTTTGAACAGCAGGAAGTCAAAGCACAATTACATGACTAGCGTATTCTTAAAAAAACAAACAAAAAAACCCACATGAGATCTTTAAAGCAGGATGAACGAGTAATGGATTTATCCGCACTGATGTCTCGTGTTAAATCAACGTGGGAAGATCATCACCTCCATTCTGAGAAATATCATATGATAGAATTGGCAGTCTATTCATCTCCATCCCTCTTATTCCAATTTGAGAGTTTTTCCACACTGGATGAGTCCCGAAAAATTCTCCTATTGTGAAAATGAATTTGTATCCCATCCATTAAATCCAGAGATGCATTTTGGAACACACATAAAAAGAAATAAACCAAACAAGCTGCCGTTTCAAGTTTTTTTTCCACGCTGTCGACGCAAGCCAAGCTCGAGTTCTAGGAAAAGAAGGATGATTGCCGCCTTCCCAGCTGGCCTGTCAAACATTTGCACCCAAAACCATCATCCAAGTGTTGCCTTGGAAACGAATTATAGGCACACGTGTGCCGTCGAAAACACTCACCGCTGAGGTAAGTGGCCAGCAGGAAATTGTTAAATGGAGCAAAGCTACCGGAGAAAACATCAATTGCTACGCTTTGGGAGGGGAAAAAAAGTTGACAGACACACAATTTTACAAATAATAACTAGGCTAACTCATCATACAAAGAGGGATGATTATGATTTTTGGGGGGAGGTGAATAATCATTCCATCATTATTAATTAAACTTGTTATAAAAAGACAATCCCTGGAAATTCTTGATGATTTACCATTCAGCTGGCACCTTATCGTGGTCAAGGTGTTTTTGTGTCCTTGATGAGCCTAGAAGCTAAATTGTTGAGGTGCTTTGTGTCGCCTGATAGTGTCACCCAGAGCAAACAAGACCAAGGTGAGGGTCCAGACAAGGTCTGATGGGGCTCAATGACAAGGGCCTGGCGACTGGTATGCACCCACGTGACTTGGCCAGGCACAGATCAAGGAGACGATGTCGGTCCTCTTTCCCATGGGCTCACCGCTCATGGAAGGCGCAAAGGGGCTTGGGAGTGCAGTGTGAGCTGGGCAGCAGCTGAAGGTGAGGACCTTGACCATCCGCGTCTCCATTGTTGAGGCGGCCTACCAAAGCTGCGGGTTTGAAGTGGTTGGTGACTGTGGTGGCAGCAATCCCCGAACCTGTTGGTGGACACCGGAAGTGAGGGATGCTGTCAAGATGAAGAAAGGTTTATATCGGGTATTTTAGGTCATTGGGATTCTGAGGCATATGATGGGTACTGCCAGGCCAAACAGAATTCAGTGTTGTTGGTCACTGAGGAAACAACTTGGGTGTGGGAGACTACATGAGGCCGTGAAGAATGACTTCCAGACAGTTTTGAGGAACTTGGGTGGTGGTATGACATTATATTTGTATTTTAAATTTCTATTTACATTTGTACGCAGTTTTTGTGTTCACGTACACAATTTTTTTTTGTACGTATTGTGTTGTACTTTGCATTATTGATTACGATTTGCTCTTTTGTAAAAGTACTATGTAAATAAAGGAATGAGAATAAAAGATTTGAAAACATTATTTTCATATACATATAGCCTAATGATGAGAATAATAGAAATTATAAAACAATAACATAAAAAATAATTATTCTTCTACTTCTAGCTTTTATTATGAACGTACCGTAGTTATATTGTTGTTCATGATCCAGGCGGAACTATAATTGCAATAGCCTTTTGTTTCCAACGTCCAAATATGCCGGGGGACCCAAAGATGGTTGTGACGTGTGATTGGTCACAACAAGCAAAGTAGCATCTTCCAAACTATCACATTGAGACTACGACGCTTCGGATTTCCACCCTGACAACGGACAGCCAATGTATATGTCGTGTAAATAATAGTATATTCGATTTCTTGTTTTAACCAAGCGGGACGTCGCTGATATCTTTTTTTTTTTTTTAAACCGGGTAAGTTAGCCGAGAGGCCTTAGGAAAACAAGCTAGCATTTATAGCTAACCACCACTCGGTTTAATTTTGGCAAGGAATCATAATCTTCATTCGCACTATTGTGTGATAAGAGCCTTGTGATTAATGTCTGTATATTATGTAAATCTAAAGTAAACAAAAAAAAAAACTAAATGTACAGTGTTGACAAACTCGAACTTCTACCAGGGCGGCTAGTTGCACTCGTTAGCTATCAAACAACGCTGATTTTGTTTGCCATTACTTCCGAGCCGGATAATGCTTGTCATCTGACCCACGTCCCGTTCCACTTTAGATTATCCGGCGTGTGGGACCGTGTGTGCTGCGAGGAACCAGGCGGCACCATGAAGCTCTACAGCCTGAGCGTTCATTATAAAGGAGCTACCAAAGCCAACCTCCTGAAAGCGGCGTACGAACTCTCCTCCTTCAGCTTTTTTCAGAAATCCAGGTGCGTTGTAGTTGAGTCTCATCACGCGTCATGAAAATGTGACACCCCACACACACGAAGAGGAACACATTGGCTAATTATTCTCATGCGGAAGTGCACGTATATCCCTCTGTTTTTAACTTTGATTTTTAATTCGGTTATTAAATTTCTTGTGGTTAATTAATATTAATCATATTATCATATTTTCCGATTTCTGCAGGCCTCCATGAAAGGACACTCGTCTTTTCGTTTAAGCCAACATGAACAAACATCAGCTTTTACGTACACACTCACACTTATTATCATTAAATTGTTAAATATTATTATAAAATTATTACATCTTATTTCACACTCATTTTACAACATTATTGTTCAAGAAAAGGAAACCTTTTTTGTAAGGAGAGGGATGATGAAACAATTAAAATCAGCCCGTTTTTGATATGTGTGTACTGTGCTTAATGCTATAATTGGGTTCCAATGTTATGGGAACAAATGTGATCATTTCTATTTAGAAATATGTTGAAATGTACCATAGTCATTGTATTATTTTGTGTGGATGTCTACTTAATGTTTGAATTTGTTACCTTTCCATTAAATTACCCTCAATATTTAATATGGCATAGGGTTGCAAAAGGCTGCAATTTCCATGCTAAGCGCAGACATTTTGGAAATATTGAGGGAAATATTTCCAAAATGTCTGGATTGGATTGGATTGGATAAACTTTATTGTCAAATGTACTGTATATGTGAAATACAGCACAGATGAAATTTCTTCCCTCTGTCTGCGCTTAGCATGGAAATTGCAGCCTTTTGCAACCCTACGCCAGATTAGTCTGCGCTGGTTTCTTTTCCCCACCTCTTAACGTTGTTTATTGTGTGGCGGTTATTCAGCATCCAGGAGTTCATGTCCTTCACCAGTGCCTTGATTGTTGAACGGACAACAGTTGGAACTCGTGCCTCTGTCAAAGAACAAGGTAAGAATGTTTTCATGTTCACACTCTTCTTATGTGGATTTCCTCTGGGCACCCGTATGCACATTCAGTTCATTGAAGACTCATTTGTCAGTCGGTGTTAGTTTGAATGTTTGCCTGCGCCTTGTGATTGGCTGCCGACCAGTCCGGGGTCCAGCCCACCTGTGATCCAAATGTGGACAGGCACTGTGCGAAATGCATCGATGGATTGCGTTTTTACAAGTCGAATGTTCTACCACAGAGTACCTTTGTCATGTGTACGTGAGGAATGATAACCTGGGTGCGGTGGTCATAGCGGACACGGAATATCCACAGAGAGTCTGCTTCACACTGCTTGACAAGGTGAGCGCGGCGTTGCCGATGCCGGTTGCCGCGCACACGCGCATTCTGAGTCCTCCGTTGTGACGGTATTGTGTGTTTTAGGTGCTAGAAGAGTTTTCCAGACAGGTGGACAGGATAGACTGGCCCTCTGGTAACCCCGACACTGTTAACTACAAAGCCCTAGACATTCACCTCGCCAAATATCAGGTATGTCGGCTCTCAATCAGCTGATCCAAACTAAAAAATGATAACAAAGCGACTTGTGCGCGTAAGAAAAGTTTTGACATGACTGCCTGTGTTCCGTTTCAGAATCCAAGGGAAGCAGATGCAATGTCAAAAGTGCAGGCGGAGCTGGACGACACAAAGATCATTTTGGTAGCGAAGACCTCTCCTTCTCTCTCCCTCTCCCTCCCGTTTGTCACATAAGAGCTAACATGCCTCAAATTCTACCAACTCGCCTCATCATCAGTAGCATTGGAGACATTTTGGGCTGTTTTTCTATGCCACTCCTGTCCTTCACTCATCACTCGAAACACGTGTGTCTCAAATCATCTTTCCCCATTCAAATGAATAGAAATGACAGGATTTATTTTTCATCCCTGTTTTTTTTTTTTTTTTTTTAAATTCAGTTACTTGAAATTAGCTTTCAGAGTGAGTTTCTTTTCCTCTTTTTAGCTAAGTTTGGTTTCATTTGTTTTTGTATTAGTTTGTTTTTGGATACTGTATTTGTAGAGCGGTAGATGGAAAACAAAAAAAGTCCAAGTCTTGTGTAATATTGCAAAGCAGAGGACCTTTTTTCTTTGGCACGGCTACAGAGTAATATAGAAATAAACCTTGAAAGCGCATATAAAAAATCAACAGATGAAAATGAATTTTGCAATAATTATATTTTGTTTTATAAACATGAAATTTAGTTTCACATTAAAATAAAAACAGGAGTTTTTATTTTATTTCATGAATAAAAATATTTTCTTCCGTTTTAATTATTTTGTTAGATTTAGTTAACTATAATAAATAACCTTGGTCATGATTACAGCAAATATTTGTTTTGAAAAACACAATCAGGCCATACCTGTAAAACAATCAAGTCTGGAACTAACTTAATTTTCATTGTTGCTTTTTTGTACAGTGCTAATTTTGTGTGTGTGGTCTGGTGTGTGTAGCACAAGACCATGGAAAGTCTGTTGGAGAGAGGAGAGAAACTGGATGACCTCGTGGCCAAGTCAGAGCACCTGGGGACCCAGTCCAAAGCCTTTTACAAGACCGTGAGTGCCAGGCTTTTTTTTTTTTTCTTAAGACAAGCCACTATTTAATGACCTCTTTTGGTTCTTTGGTACCTAATATGACTCTGCATTTATCTCCACCAACCCCATTTTCCCCTCCAACAGGCGAGGAAACAGAACTCCTGCTGCGAGATCATGTGATGTCGCCGCCTCGTCCCCACGGACACGCCTCTTATCAGTCTAATCTGTCTTTGCCTTCCTGCTCGTCCCGATCCTACATCTCCCATCGAGCACCGGACGCACGATTCTCAACGCCACATGAGGAAGGTTAGCTTCCACCGCGATATTCACCGATGGGGGCTGGAGGAGCGATTCGGGTCCGAGGAACATTCTGGAGGACGAACCCGCGTGTCGTTGTCTTTTGATGACGTGTCGTCATCTGGATTGCGTTATGTCTTAAATGTGGCTTTTTTTGTTTTCCAGTGACATGGCAAACAAAAGCATTTGCTACTCATCAGCTTCATCTTGTTCATTGAACTTGCCGACATTCCTGCTGTGGCTGATTGTGTTTGTCTGGTGTTAACGCATCATGAACATGTATCCCCCTCAATCACAATGTTGGTTAATGATGAGGACGCTATGCCCAAATAGAATTATTGCCCTAAAACACAAAAATGGATTAATTAATTTGGCCGAGGGACACTCCAACATTCCCCTGCTGCACCCTTTTTTTTTTTTAATCTACAGAATGAATTTGATTTGTCTGCTCTCATCCAGTCAAGGTGGAAACATGCCTTTGGTTGTATTTTAGATGATTTCTTTGCTTTCTGCCGTGCGTGTGTATGCATGACATGAGTACGGCTGAATTAATGAGTGACTGTGTTTGTGTGTTTCTGGCTTTTACAGTGTAAACTCTTGTGCAATACCTACACGGACTGGTGTCTCTTAACAAAGCGGAAACGTTGCTCATAAGTGGTCAGCAAACTGGCCTTTGTACACTTGTCTTATGAGTACTGTGACTCCCCCACATGAAGCCTGTGCAGGGTTGATTCTTGATTTAATAAATACTTATCTGGGTTAAAAATTGTTTCTCTGTATTATCAATCCTCATTCTGTAGCGCTTGTCATTACAGAGCAGAAATGGTTGATGTTAAAAAGATGTTTTGACATCCGCCAGAAAATATTTGTGATTTCTTCTCAATGCCCGAGAATGGTTTTGATTTGAAGAGGCTATGGCCTGATGCCATAGAAGTAATAGTTTTATTTTACACATGGCTTAGTACACTCCTTGTTTGACATAATACTCGAACTGTGACTGAGCTGTAGGCATGCAAACCAAAAGACCATCCCGCTGTCCGTGTATTGCTTTCATTTTTCAAAAAGGGTTTCAGATACATAATTATCTTAATATAGGTAAAGTTGCGACTTATATATAATTTGTATCCTAATATTAGTGAAGTTGAGACTGCAGCCTGAAAAAAAAACCAATGTTGCATACTCAGCTTTTCTGTGAGGGAGGGCCAATTGAATAGGAAATGCACCCTGAAGAGATTTTAAAAAGCTGGTAAATCTAATAGACACGTCAAGTTTCTTTAAAATCGACAAAGTGATGTTTTTGAAGCGTTTGAATAGATTCGCAAAGGTTTCCGTCGAAGATTTAGTCATTTACATTGATCAAAAGTCGAAGCCAAACGCTTTCCCTCGTGTACCACATTTTGGGGGGGGTTGAGAAATCCGAGGTTTGTCCAAGTACTTGAACACATCACGCCCGCAGGCGCACAGCTGAAGCGAGACGAAAACATGCGCTGATGACTTCTGACCACTGTTCGTCTCCAAAATGCGGACCGAGGCGCAAAACGACAGCAAATTTGCACCCAACCGCATCGTCAACACTTCGGAGGTAAGAAAGTGATCGGCGAAAGGACTCTTGTGTCGTCCCTCGTCAAGAACAAAGCTTTCTTTGAGTCAAATTACGGTTTTAGTGGGATAGGACTTCCAAGTTGCAAAGCGTTGTAGAGTTATAAAGCGCCTCACTGGTTTGTTTCAGTCGACTACATGCTGTCTTTATCTTTTGGAAATTCTGGTCAACAGTATGTTCTTATCTTACATGTTTACTTTGTGTCTGCGCCAAGTTGGGCCTGTTTTCTATCCTGAAGTTCCCACTTCTACTATATTCACGCCACCTTTGCCTCTCAAAGAGCAAGCTGCAACTTCACAGCATGTTTTTCTACGTTATTTGTTAAAACGTGATTATCCGGCTACTTTTTTTTCAGATAGTTGACCCAGATCTGACCTGGCAGGCATTGGAGGTTCTGCAGAGAAATGGTAAGCCTCTGCTCTTCTTTTTCACTGATACTCTCTCTCTCTCTCCAAAAGTCTTCCAAAAGCCTGCAAGAACATCTTAACTTTATTTGGGGTAAATTGGAGGCACTTAAAATAGTGATACGTGCAGCTGCCCCCTCCCCTCTTTAAAATGAGCTTGAGTCTGATTGGTTAAGTTGGAAGAGGTTTTGTGCAGTTGTGCAACCACGCTCGTTCATTTTTACACCCCTCTTGAAAAGATTCGGGTTTTTTTCCCAGGTGAGTTGTGTTGAGTGCAGGTTGTAGTCCACATTAATGGTGGAAAAAGTTTAGAATGATTCATCTCATTGAGCAACTCGGGGTTTAGGAGACGACAACTCTTCTAATTGGTTTCAGAAATTAAATTGATATCTAATTCAATTTCACTTCCCCCCCCCAAAGGTTCCACTGCAGCAGCCGCTCGTCCATCAAGCACTGAAGATGTGTTAAACACAAGCAATGGAATCATTCCTGGTGAGTACAGCACAAGCATTTGTTGTACGATTGGTTTCCGCTGCAAAATGGCCGCGTGTTGCCGAAAAACATGACTCTTTTGGACTCTGGAGTAAAATGATGGTCACACAGGTGCCATTGCGGCCGCAATGTTCATCGCAATGTTACTGGGCCTCTATGCCGTGCTCTGGAAATGTATGGTGTCGCCGCCACAAAGGTATCGATCGACACAACAAATCCCCGTTGGTGTTGAAACTGAGCAAAGGCTTCATTTGTGGATGTCTCCCTTTCAGAAAACGCCGGAAGGCGAGAGCAAGAATGACCGCGTGATGACAGGACCGGGATGGCATGTGGCGTACTGTAAAATACATTTTATTTTTTTAAAAAGTTGTTTTCTTCAAAAGGTGTGGCCTGACCTGCGGGCGCACCACTCAAGAGCCTCCAGATTAACCAATGTACAGCTGAAAAGTTTGCTGCTCTTTGCTTTGGGAACTACTGAGGGCTGAGGCCACTCGCTAACCGATAGTGGGTGTGGGTGTGCGCAAAGATTTTGTTTGATGCTGCTACTGAATAGCTTCCATTCTGAAACCTAAAAATCCCAGTTTGTCTTTATAAATATTATGTCCAACCCTGAAATCAAAAGACAAAAACGCGACTAGATTAAAGTGCTACATTTAAGAGTATATTTGAAAAGATGTGTTATTTTGGTAAGATTTAAATTCGTAGTGTAGTTCTTTTTTTTTTTTCTTTTCAGTCTGGCCCTACTACTCCATTCCTACAAGACAAATAACCAATTGCTTTTCGTGCATTTTATTATATTTCCGCTGTGTACATATTAAGAGTAAGCTGTGACATTCTCCCGTTGGGACTGTGAACCTGAATAAATGTGAACGTTTGTGAATAGAGAAACTGTCGTGCGTCTTCAATTTGTCTCTCTAATGTCTATTGGTGATGTCAGGCCAAGCTGGTCGACACAAAAGACTTGACCAGATACTCTTCACAGCTTTCTCAGACGTTTCCAAAACGTGATTGTTAGTTTCATTTAAGATTCTACGTTGTCCTATGATGCGAATGTGAACGCTTCCTTTTTCTAAATGCGCCCTGCGATTGGGCGTCAATGAGTCGAGGGTGCACCCCGCTTCTCATCCCTGGTCAGTTGAGCTCCAGCGATCCTAATCAGGACAAGTCGTACGGAAAGTCGATGATTGACCGTCAGAAGCAGACTATGTCATGATCAGTATGTTGTTTGAGTTCCCTTGTGTGCGAAATGCACCGTATGTATAAAAGCTGCCTTGCCTTTGAAATGACCTGCATCACACACAGTACACGTTTGCTTGACTTCCTCCAGCTGTGGTACAGCTGGAAATGTACAGGAGCTGCTGGCAGGCTCGTCGGAGTTTCTGAGTAGCAGCAGCATAGAGAAGAATGGGGGAGAAAAAAAAAACTGTCATGTGATTGCATGGTATTTGTTACAGTTGAGATTAACATAGAAATATAATAATAAATAAATAGCCATATAAAGATCCGGAATAGTATTTACATCATGAGACTTACTGGACTAAATACGTAAATTTACGTGCTCACACAAGTTGTTGGTTGCGATGGCGCCGCTCTGGTTTTGCGGTCGAGTGATCGGATCGCTGCCGCAAGTGACACTTGTCATCGCGGAGGCCTCTTGGCTTTTGGGGAGGTGCTAAGGGAACACACAAACACTGAGGCGGATGTGAATTTAATTAAATACCGCAGCCATGATGAAGATTAGACACAGGATGCAACAATTCAAAATGATTGAAACTGTGCCCCAATCCTCTCACGACGTTACCTTTCCACGCAAGCAGATGTTTGCAACAATATCTTTATAAGCAGCCCCAAACGTTTACATCCATCACAGCAGTGATTACAGCCATTGCAGCAAACCGCACATTGTGTACAGTGCATGAAGCCATTTACGTACAATAAATTACCAAGTTGTTCCAAGAGGAAATAATGAGGTGGGGGGTTGGGGGGGTGGGATATCACAACAATTTGGGCACTTTACTGAGAAAAGAATGAAGCTCTCCTAACAGTGTGCATAGGTAGCCCTTTCAATAAACAATACGATACAGTACTTCAACACATCTCAGTTAATAATTCTTTGCAAATGACTTCATTCCCTAATAAATATTATTTAAGATAACATGTAATGGTACTTTCTAGAAGAGCAATCAATGCTGTACATAGCTTGCAATGGCCGACCTTGGCTTGCCCCCCGCATGTATTTTATATTAAGTGCTAAAAGAGAAAAAAAAAAATGACCCCTGTACTTTTATCTTGGTATTCCCTAGCGCCACGTTCGAGGCACCTCCAACCAAAATACGGATAGAAACTAATTTACAGACAAAAAAATAATAATTACAGCAAACACAAAAGCAAAAGGCACAAAGGTTTGATCAGGCAGGAGGAACACTGACGGTAGTTTATAAAAGGCACATACGCTACTGATCCCTCCCTTGATTATCCACAGTTTCCCCCAAATGTATTGACATCCATCACGGGCGAACAAAAGCAATCAAGTCCAGTTCCGTGTCCAAAAGAATGCCTCGCTCATCAGAGGTAAACGATATTCTCCTCGCTTCCGTCCTCCCTGAGATGTCCTTCGAGAGAGAGGTAGGACTGCGGGGGGAGGAGTGGCGTGAGGGAGGGAGAGGAGGCGGGGGAAAAGCTGTTTTTGTAAAGTTCGTGACCTGGCCTCCAGACCCCCGGGGAATGTCGATCCAACTGTGGACTGAAGTCTGACAGAGAGTTGGAGAAAAAGAGAGTCAGACGGTAGAGATGCTTTAGAGCATCCTCGGAAGCAGAAGACAAAATCTAACGGGTGGTCCACACACAGCCATCCGTTTTCTACGTTTGTCTACATTCGAGCCTATGCCAGCTGAGTTTGGACGGATAATTTCGAACCGAATTTAAAGGTTAAGTACAAATCAAGGAAGTCGATCAAAATTTGAATGTCGTGTTTTAGTGCCTTGAGACATGAGCTGTCGTTTGGCCGATTTATTGATTGATTTATTTTTGCTTGTTTTCTCCACTCACTTCACACCAGGCCGCACTTTTTGTCTTGTACATTATTATTAATTTTCCTTGTTTGTTTTTCGAAGTATGATCCAGGGTGCTCGAATAGTTAGCACCTGGGATAGGCTCCGGCCCACCTGCGATCCTCGTCAGGATAAGTGGTGAACAACAGTTTGACCCATAAAAGCTGCACTGTGAGGTTGATGCGCTAACCACTCATCCACCGAAATGCACCAACCTCTAACCCCTAATTGATGAATATTACGATATTAGATATTGTTGTTTTTATATCATTATAATGATGAGGACAGCCGTGATGATGATCGTTTGTCTATATGTGCGCTGCAACAGTCCAAGGTGTATTTCAAGCTGGAACAGGCTCCAATGGTTGGTTGGCTGGATGGATAATATAATTTCCACCTGCCTCTCTTTACGTGTGTACATAAAAAAAAAAAAAAAAAAAAAGAATGTTGCACTACGTACGTTTCGCGGTGCTCTGGGGCTGCGCCGGGACTCTGTTACTGAAGGGATTGACAGCGTTGTTGGGAAGCTGGTGGCAGTCGGGGTTCTTAGAGTAGTTGGTGAACATGAGCCCATCCTGAGATTGTTTTCTGTGCGTTTGGCTGAGTAGGGCGTTGAGGCTGTTGTAGAGGCTGGCACTGAGGCTAAGGTCAGCGCCAAAGGTGGAGGCTTGCCGGGGGCCGTCGTGGTTCCGCCTCGGGGCGGAGAGCGGATACTGGTGTGGGTTGTTGTTGTTGTTGGGGGGATGGTTCTTCTGGAGGGAGGCGAGCAGAGCCGCATCGTTCTCGTACGTCCAGCAGGTGCCGTCCAAGCTGCCTGAGCGACTGTGACTCGGTACCTTTCGGCGGTTTAAAAGACATGAGGTCACGTGATTTTTTTAAACCCACTTTTTGACATTGTAAATGCTTTTGAATGGCTACCCTCCCCCAAAAAAAAACAAGGATAAAATGAATAGAAAATATTGCAGTGTCTGGATTTCATTTTGTGCCATGACGAGGCGCAGCCTTGTGGGGGCGACGTGTGACATGAGCGAGTTTACATGTGAGAGTCTGGGCGTGAGCGGTGACCGACAGCAGCTTGCATGAGTGTGTTCATTGTGTTTATGAGTCTGACTCTTTTCCCTGGCATTCAATCAACAACTGAAAAGTGCATCAGTGACTGTGGCTGGCTCTCCTTTCCTACATGGGAAGGGCATTAAAAAAAAAAAAATCGATGAAAAAAAAAGATCACTTCATAAACTTGCGCTACAGTGGGGGTACAAACGATGACCAGTGATATAGCGGGGAGACCTTTATCGTGAATTGCTATTATTTGTACTACTACTCACTTGATTCTCTCATTTTACTGGTAGCAAAATACTAAGGAGCCACCCAAGTGGTCACAGGAACACGTCATCTTTTTCATACCTTGTATCCATCCAGTGGTATAGTAACGGGCAGACTGCTCTGCCGGTTGTGTCTCCAGCTCTGGAGGACCCTCTGCTGGGCTTCCAGCTTCTCCTTCTCCCTGTCGACACTCTTCTGGCCCTCCCGGAGTCTGTCCAGATTGTTACGATACTCCAGCAGCTGAGCTTCCAGCTCCTCTCGTTCACAGCGGAGCCGTTGTGCCTCCAGGATGCAATGCTGCTCACGCCGCTCCAGTGCATTTTCCTGCTCAGTCTGCACACAATATCGTACATTTCCATCATACAGACCGGTGATTCCCGATTCTAGTTTGCTCGATTCAAACCTCTGCCGATTACCATGGTCCTCCATCACTGCGAATCCACCCAGATAGTGAGACCAACCTGTTGTTTCTCCCTGGCCACACATTCCTTGTCCCAACGCTGCTGGTCTTGTTTCAGTTTCACTTGGAGTTTCTGCACCTCATCCACTTCTTCCTTCTTCCTCTCTAAACCCTTCTTCTCAACTTCCTCTTTCTTCCTTTCAACACCCGTCTGCCTCTCGTGCTCCTGCAGCACAGCGGATGTCCTGTTAGCAACTCGGACGTAGCAAAACATCGATTAGGGCACTTTCAAGGCACTCATACCAGGCTGCTTTGGAGAGAAGCGAGGGTCTTGAGCTGAGATTTGTCTCCTTCCTGAAGGAGAATTTTCTGGATCTCGAGGCAGCTGTCCTGAAGAGTCACGGCAGCCTGCAAAAAAAAAAACTCACGTTAGTGTCAAACTACTGCTGGTAAAAATAACAATTTAAAGTTATCAGTTATTTAAATCTGCACTTCTACCAACGTCAACGTAAGCGGCAACTTTTTTCCCCCAGCCTGAATGCGTGCAGTTATTCAATGATGCGGCCTATTTGCGGGTTTTTACGATACAAGGTTTTCTAGCACTGCTTCTCTTTGAACTTACACTAATCGTGTTTAGTGTTCATGTTGAAGGGGAACTTTTCACGGTTTTAAGTTTCGAGTTCAAGCCGATCAATTTGGCCATTGAAAATGGAAATCAGGCCACTGTACATTTTCTCGGACTAAATAAAGATTGTGGATGTTCATTTTCTGTGGTCATTTGTATTTTGTAACAGTATTTCCACTTCTATGTTACTTTATGTTGTTTCCACTTGGACTTTCCTAGACTGAGGATGGCGGTTTTTGGGTCTCTCAAATTTGTATGGGTAATATGTGTGGCGAATCAACCAAGGCTTATGTGTGGAAAAGAAAAATCAGATTTTGTTTAATATTTCGTAGCTGAGGCTTATATACCGGTTTGCTCAACAGAATAGATTTCATGACAATTACATTTTGTTAGAACAGAACAAAAAGAAATGCTAATTGCCGTCCATGCATTTGTGCACTTACTCACCTGCAGACTATAAAGAAGCTGAGTCAGACTTTGGACACTCTCTGCCACCTACAGAAGAGAACTGTTTATGAATACGGAAGGACATAAACAAAAGGAAAAAAAAAGAACTACTCCACTTGGGAAACGCTAACAGCCAAACCTTGAACAGTGTTTCTTTGGTGTCGCCTTTCTGTGGCTCAGAAGCAGAACTCCACAAAACTCCATCCATCCCCGCGCCCTCACTATCCGATCCAAGAGAAGTGGAACTCATACTGAGTGTGCTCAGGTAATCCGCTGTGGAAAAACAAAGGGCACAACGATGACACGGGACTGCATACGTCGCCTGCCTAACACTCGAGAACTGCACACGAATGAGCTCGCTCACGTTCCGAGGGAGACTCTTGGATGCTGCTGCCGTGGCTATTGTAGTTGCAGCACTCGGGCCCGCGGATCGGAGAGTTGTCACTTGGGACAGGAAGGTCATCGTGAACCTGCAGGATGGTGATCAGGTTTTCCGCTAGACAGGAAGCAGGCACGTCACAAAAGTTGAGTTAATTCCCGGCTGAGCTAGTTATTTTCACTGAGTGAATAAAAGGGGACGTTCACATCGCACAACTGTAAATTCCTTTTACAGGTTAAAACTGTATAGAAGTTGCTACGTTGACTTCTCCCCCTTGGTATATCAAGTCTTGCCGAGCCTCTTCCGGTCGATCACAATTTACCAGTTTTCTCAGCAAGTTGTCTCACCTTCTCGGAGTGCAGCCGTGAGCAGTGTCGAGGCGGGTCTTGGGGACTCACTATCAATGTCTGGTTGTACCAGCAGGTGGCGATGTGGCACGGCTTCTGAAGAGCGCAGCGTTAACTCTGTGAGCTCAGCATATAATTGCAATTTCTCCTCCAAGCTGTTGCAGATGCGCTGGTCCTGGTTTAACAATGTCTCTACAAAAAAATAAAAATACAAATACTGTGATTCATACTTCAACGCCTTGCATTTGACTCCCATTGGCCCAGTATTAAGTTCTACTCAACCGTTACCTTGGAACTTTGAGATTTTCTGAACCTTTGCTTCCGCTGCTCGCTTGGCCTCCTCGGATTCGGCACTGCGCTCCTCCTCCTCTTCTTCCTCTGGGCAACTGCCGTGAAGGTTAAGTAGGTGAGATGATGATTAACACACACACACACACACACACACACACACACACACACACACACACACACACACAGCACAGCACAAAAGACTGTACTATAAAACAAAATGTCACAATGTCATTGTCAACATTGTCAAACAATTGCTCGCAGTTGACTCCGAAACAAACCTCTCGACAGCTTGTCTTATGTGTCTCATCCAAGCATTTCTCTCCTCTCTGGTCGTGGTGTGAACTTCGTACATCTCCGGTCCAGCTGAGGAAGCGGAGATGAGGAACATCCCTCGTTCCTCATTGGCTACTTCTCGAACAATGAGCTTTTGCAGTGGGATCACAGGAGGCTTCTGGTCCTGCAAGTCAACGAAACCAAATAAAGGAGAGACACATTGGGAGTCGGAGTTGCATATTTGCGATTTTGGTTGAGGCTTACCACGGCCGCAAACACAAAGCGTTGATCTTTCTCTTGTAGGAACACCAGAACATCTGTAAGGAGGAGGGCCAATGTATCTAGAGGGAAGGCGGAAAAAAAAAAAAATCACAAAAGTTAGTTATCAGCTCAACGAAAACGATCCGGCGCCAGATGTGCAGAAGCTACAAACCTTTTAGGCGGCCTGTGGCGGTCTTCCAGTAAAGCAGTCCCTTGTGCTGCAGATCTCTGTGTTTGCTGTGCAGGTCCTGCTTGCGAATCACCTTGCCGCTCTTTAGTTTGGCAAAGCTCTTGTTCTCCAGACGGGCGAGCACTTCTTGCAGCTCCTGAGATCTCTCGTACTTACTGACAGTCAGGTCCACTGCTGCGATGATATCACGAATCCGAGCCAGAGCACTTGACAAGTCGGAGTGTTCCTGACTGCCTTCTGTCGAGGTTTAAGGTCATCAAGGTCAAGGTTAACCCTCTCAGGGACAGAGGTTACTACAGTGGACAGCTTATCGTGTTATGGGGTGCATGAAAGGGTTAAATATAAAATTCTGTTTTCAGAATTCATTTTTACACAGTGATTTGAACCAAGATAGAAATATTTATTCATTCATTTGTACAGTTCAAGGTTAAAGATGTCATCAACTATAATGACGCCTTGAGATATGGATTTCGTTTGTTTCTTGACCACATCTTTAACTAAAAAAAAAAACACCTGTACTGAAATCATCTTTCCCCATTGAAATGAATGGTGATGCAATGCTCTTAACTCATTCAATGCCAGGCCATTTTCACCGGAGCAAACCCCTCAATGCAATATTAACATGCAGGCCTACCAAGAGAAAAAATGAGACTCTGTTCTTTGAGCCGGGAAAAAAGTTTGTTTCTATCTTTGTTCCGTTCTTTAGCAATCAGCATTAGAAAATAGCGAAATGTCATTAGATTTCCATTTTCTGAGTAAAAGAAACGGAGGAAAAAAGACCTTTTTGGAACGCACGCATAAGTTCAAGTGTGGCGCCACCATTTTTTGCTCTCAAACATCTAAATAAGACTTTCCGTCTACAAAACAACATAAACAACACCGCAAAAGGGCTTTTGGAAGCAAAAATCTTCATATGCTCAGCATTGAACTGACGAAATGAACTGTGAACGGATGTGAAACAATCAGTTGAGTGAGCGCTTGCACATTTGCGTGTGGTTCTTTAGTGAGTTGAATTCATTGCCACTTGTATCATTCATTTTTGCTCAGAAGTCAAGCAAATAAATACAGAAATAAATAGAATCAGCTGAATGATGGCTCATATCTCAAAATAATTCACAGTCTTAAGTGATTTGTGAACGCTCTTCACTCATATCTCAAGGCACCACTGTACAAGGAGCTGACTTGCCTTGAGTGTAATGTAATATCCTCTCCAACAAAACTGGGTACTTGGTGATGCGCTGGGTGACTAAAAGGATAAACTCTGGAATCCCTCTCCTCCTGACCAGCGAGTTATGGCTCTGTTGCTGTGAGCAGAGAGGCCACAAGGATTTTACAACATTGCAGATCTTGAAAACATGCAATGTTCTACAACCGGGGGCCCCACTTTGACAAAGTTCTGGAGTTTTTTATTCTGCTGTTGAAGCTCCTTGAAGACACTGACAGCTTCCATGTGGTGACTGCAGAAATCGCCGTACACTTGCTTCATTGTCTCAGCATTTTCATCTGAGAACTGAAAGGGTCATCTTCAGTTTTAAGAAGAGTCCTTTGATATGGGTGGACGGTGACAATATTTTTGGCAATCGTGAACATGTATGCATCGTGACCAACCTGCTGAAGCAGGATGTCTCCGATCTGATGGATGAGGTAATTTTTCTGGTTCTCGGCTTGGGTGGAAGCTTGTCTGCACTCCTGCAGTGATCCAAAGAGGTTCCTGTGGAAGAGCAACAAGGAATCCAAACAAGGGAAGATCCGGGCCACGCAATCCCAGTCGAGTTGCAGCTCCTCCAGCATTCCTCGTCTGAACACTTCGGACATGACCGTCAGAGTCTGGATGTGGTGCAGCTCGGTCTGCATTAGTTCTACAAGGAGGCAGCAAAGTGGATTATCATAATAATACAACTGATTCACGAAGAGACTGGAATGGCTTAATGACTCTCGATGACAAAAGACCGCCCGGCCTCACCATAAATTACATCCTGGCGTTTGATGGCACGTCTGTCATGCTGCCGGCAGAAATCCGGACTCACTGCAAGACTCCACGACTCTGCGTCGAGTCCCAGAAGATCGGCTGATAGATCACTTAATAGAGGAGCATCGGCATCATCTGCGCAACAAGTTTTTAAACCTGTGATAGTGTGCAGTCATTCTATGAAACATTCAAACTTTTACAAACGTCTGATTAACCCTCACTGACCCTGCGGGGCCATTGGTGGGTCGACTGAAGGAAGAATTGTCATTGGGGCGCCCTCATCGGACTGTGAGCCGTAAGCTGTAGGAATGGAATCAATCTCCATTGCTGCTGTGTCACTCAGCCTTCTATAGAACAGAGAGGGGAATATAGAAACGTTAATTAGCTTAGTTTTAGGTACAAATTGCTATTCACAATGAGACCGCAATAAAGGCTAGCTAGAATCAGTTTTGTGGTGGATTCCATCTGATTACTGTGAATATGCAGGGTTGAACTACGGATGTCAATCCTACCTGCTCTCTAAAGAGACGGAGAGGCCTTTGGAGAGAGCGTCGAGTGTTTCTCGCTTTTCTTTGGTCGTTGGTGTGAGTGAGGATGACGAAGAAACGGAGGAGAAGGCGAGGGGTGTGGAGGGAGGGATGTCTTTCACAGAAGCTGAAGGAGACACCGGGATAACAGGAAATGTTTTCATTGTCATGGGAAACAGCAGGTGAAGACGCCGATGTTCAAATTAAAGTCTCGACCACAGACCACAGAAAATGATTTAAAAAACAAAACAACACCGAGGCACCAAAATCATGAAAAAACAAGCACTTGTCTTCATTCTCCATGGGCGTGTCTCCTTGAAGACCACACCATGCCCAACTATATATTACCATATGCCTCTAATACGAGCTGGAGGGGGGGGATAACATATACAAATATACACAAACACACATTTTATACATATGTAAATAAAATGATGGGGGATGGAGCGACTCCTGCCGAGGCCCATGTGTATCACTGGACTCAGTTTCTGCCTGGACGCCAATCAAGGGTATTTAAATGATGAAAAACATTTTAGCACTAAATCTCCAGACTTGAAATCTACATAGTTCTTGGGCTTTGTACATCTTTAAAAATGGTTGATGTGTTTACAAAGAAAGATCTGAATTCACTCTAGTCCACAGTCTATAAGTCACAGGTGTCAAACTCAAGGGCCGGGGGCCAGATCTGGCCGGCCGCATCATTTTATGGAGCCCGCGAAAGCAAATCAACCAGATCAACTTCCATGACGCTTGCTAAAATCCGTACCAAAATTTGAAGTTGTCATATGTAATAAATCGGCATTGTTAGCTATTACAAGCATTATTTCAGAAACTTCAACAACAGGGGGAACAAACTACTCTCCTTGACTTTTGATTTCAAAATCTAATAATTGTGTACTTTACATGGAATAACACGAGGAAGTGATTCAACATTTCTACGGCTTCACAGTCATAATGGCCCTCCGAGGGAAACTGTGACGACAATGTGGCCCGCGACAAAAAATGAGTTTGACACTCCTGCTCTAAGTGTTGAATGTACCTTCTCATTGTATGGGGATGTCCTCACTCTACCGATGTTATGCACAAACACATATAAATACAATCCGGGACGGATCCCCCACTGAGGCAGATTAAAATTTAACAGTTTCTTTTTTTTTTAAACAGAGTCATATGAGTGAGTCAGCGGCCAGGGTAAATGATTTGCTTTCAACAACAGGGAAACAAGAGAGGAGAGGTAAAAACAAAAAGAATAAGGAAGATGGAAGGAAGAGGGAGAACATGGGGGATGAGACGGGGTGGGGGTGCGGGGACATGTAATTTCTGACTCACTCTGTGGGAGGGACAAGGTCTTGCTTTTCGTCAACAATGCATTCTTCTCCTGCAGCTTCTGAGGAAAAATGTCATATTAACTTAAGTTGATGAACAACATAGCTGTACTGCCTTTAAATAAAATTAGTCAAAAATCGAAATCAAACATCATCGTCTGCTGGAGAAAACATGACGCAAGCTACAGTGTACACTGTCGCTGTTATTATTTTTCACTGTTCAGAACATCGCATGATTCCAGGAATTCTTTTTTTTTTTTTGTCACTAAGCGCTAGAACTTATTCTCCCAGCTTTTTGACTGCCTCCCCCACCTGCCCGTGAGGCAGGAACTGATTTATTTGTTCATTTAGCATTCAGCCTGTGACAGGTATGGCAGTAGAGTGCGAGAAGGGGGAGACAAGCGCAATGATCCGCAACATATTGCGGCACACAGCACTTTTGAGTTTCCAGGAAGGACATCTACAAGGTAAAATTGTCGTCGAGGTGCAGAGATTCGAGCACCTAAAATAAAACTTTTGGCCACAACTGTTTGAATGAGGGTCCAAGTACCACGTGCGTTTTGAAAGAACGAGCTAACACGATTCATTATTTTTGCTCTCATTGTTATGGGAGACCAAAGGCGGTGTTTGATGGTTACCTTTCCGCATTGTGTGACAGAATCTCGACAGTTCTTGTGGACATTCAAGAAACAGTCTGCAGACAAAAACAGACAAAGTCACGGTTAATTCAATCATTTAACTGATAATAAGACTAAATAAGCAATGTCCAGATGGCCATTGAAACTGCCCAATCGGTGTTGACTTTGCTGGGGGAAGAAAGCTGACCTCATCTTTTCTGCGGACCAAAACATGAAGGCAGCACGTGTGAGGATATTTATACAAACGCTGACAGTTGAGCCACCACAAGACATAAGACAACACCGCCGCCGCTGTCGAATACTTACTGGAGCACTGCAGCAGCTCCTTCCCAGAAACCGACTTATCGCAGGCCACACAGACAGCAGGACCAGATGGAGACGCGGGCACAAACTGATGTCCATTAGCCGCTCCGCTCTTGTCCTTCCCGTCCTTCGCCTCTTTCCCTTTAACCTGAAAAGAAAGCTCGTAAAATAAAATTCATTTGCCCGTTGAGCTGACATTGACTACAGTCGATGCCGGAGTGCAACAGAAAAACAACAAAAAGTAAAGTGGCCAGCTTCCTGGTGCGATACACCTGTTGAAGTGGTGTTAGCTGAGATAAAGAGATTTGAGTCAGCCTCACTGTTAACTCTCTTCTGGTCGACCGGTTCTGCTGTTATGGCGCTTTAACTTTGGGGGAGCATTAGGAGGGATTCCTTTGTGTGAGTGTGTGTGAGCGAGGAATGTTTATTTTCCTATCTAACTTTCCAAAGAGTTCATGTTTGTTAGCTCGCATATGTGCATGCTCTGAAACACGTGACAACGCCGCGTATACTATAGAATGTGTTTTGGTTCCTTAGGATGTTCTGGGAGGTTTGGCATTATGTAAGAAGATATTTTTTCAGTGTCCTGTTGCTAAGACCTGAGGAGAGGGGAATTTTCTCCCTCGCCAAATAAAGGCACCCTGCACAGACAGCGGCTCCCCAGCACAGGAATTCTAAGAGATGGTAAACCCTTTACAGCTCCACTTTGGATGCGAGTCACTATACATGGACACGGTTATTAAACGCAGGGGTGAACCTTTATCCTGGAGGAATTACAGTTTTCAGAGGGGCAAAGACCTCACCTTTGTTTTGTTGCGAGTGCTCGACATCCTGCTCTTGAGGAAGCTGAAGGTCCGGCTCACTTTGTACTTCTCTGATTCGACCTTGGACGGAATTATGTATTTATCCCACTCCTCATCCTCGATCCTGTTCCGGTGTAAACATTTCAGTTAGTCGTCAGTCATCACCTCAGTGGGGTCTTCGAAAGCCACGATGCACAACTCCTAATATTAGTATATTAATACTACCACAGATTTAATAACCTGGGATTCTAGCATCATGCTGAGATGAAAGAATGTCCACAGAGTCTTCCAGTGCTCTACTCGATAGACTAAGTTTTCTTGATAACATGCTTGGCATGCTTGGGTGTCACTATGGACTCGAGTGGATGCTATTTATAGCATGACCTTGGAGAGATGCAATTAATAACATGTCAACTATTGGCAGCAACTTAAAACTAGTTCCATTCGACACTAGACTAGAGAGGCGGTCGGAGCATCAAGGAGAAAATGGCATGCAACATGACGTCAAACCAATGCTGTGGCCTAAATTTCGATGTCACAGCAGAATCCGGAGGGGGGGGGGTTATATGTGCGGAACGGATGTTGTTAACAAAGCGAAAGGTACGGTCAAACCAAGTACAAACAAGTCGAGCCGCACATGCATGGCTGTGAGGCCGCTTTGGTGAACACATACTCTTTAAGGAACTCTGTGAGGGTGAGGTGTTGGAGTGATGCGCTGCTCTCCTCCTCTGCGGACTGGGCCCGCTTACGGAAACCCAAAACCCTGCGTGATGGATATAGCACACCTCAAACCAGGCTGTTGGGCTTTTTTTTTTTTTTTTTTTGGTCCATTGGGAGATTTATTTTCGTATGTTAAACAATTGAGGTTCTAAAAATGAGTCAGATTTTAGTAAGCCATTTATTATTACTGGATTCTAATACTGACTAACAATGAGAGTGACTTTCTTCCATCGGATGAAATGCATTTAAATGACAGGATGATTTATGGAATTGCCGATGTAACATGATTATCTAAAAAAAGTTTCCTCTGTTAGCGACGCATGGTTATTAGTGAGGAAAAAATGCATTAGGGCATTATAGACTAATAAGCCTGTGACCCAAAACACTAGCCGAATTACATGGAGACTTTTCTGTCATTCTGATTGAAATCATTCCGACTGAAGATCTCATTACGCGTGACGTGACCTATTCCGCTCTGTCCTGTACATGCGCCACTACCTTAAATCAGAACAGCCGTCTCACCACACCGCATCGATGTAAACGTCACGCGATTTGTCAAGATGGAGTTCGTTCGTCTTTTTAGCACAGTAGTCGTGATTGTTTTCACACTTTTATTAAAGTAACAGATTGATGGGGGCGGGGAGGTTACAAGTAGTTTGAAACAAGTTCTCCTGTCGCAGACGAACTCTGGTAAGACGCTGTCATTTTCAAGTGCATAGACAACGACGTCACTGCGCACCTACGTCAAAATAGAGAATGCGCAGACCGGATGCGGCCTGGTTAATCCGATTGAATAGTTTTCATGACGCTTGGCATGTACAAGCCCTGTGATTCTGAATGAAATTCCCATTCACATTCGGCCTTTTCATTCCGATTAAGGTGTTTATGTGGAGCATTTTCGTTGTTTGGTCATTCGGTTTCATTGTAATCGGAATACAAGGCTCCATGTAAACCTCGGCTAGTGAGAAATTAACAAAGGGAAATGAAAAATGATTGTGAGTAAAATTTAAAAAAAATTAAATGGGCGTATCGTAAAGCTCATGTTAAAAAAGCTTACCAGATGTAGCACAGTCATTCATGTTCTACATAGGGTGTTAAAATGGATGTTGCTGTTTACTTTGAGGTTATTTTGAGGTTGCAATCAGAGCATATACTGGCCCTGGCCGGGCTCGCAACAGGAAGTGTGTCACATCCTGCCCCCGTCAGACCCCCAAACACAGGTCGAACACTGAGGTCTCACACACTGTACACCCGCAGAGCTAATCTCTTACTGCAGGCCAACAGTGATGCCTAAAAAGGGCGGAAGTCTGTTTTGACATCTGAGTAAGGCCCCTACACAGTCCAGTGGATCTCGTCTCAGCTCATATAAGCGAGCCAATGCGGTTACCTCTTTTCTTTGGAAGTCTCTGTCAGGTTCAGCACACTCTGCTCTGTAATGTAGTGTCAGAGAAAGCCAAATGAGTGAGTGAGAAATAAATATGTCATTCACGGTAAGGAAGTTATTACAAACCGAGTGAACCCGAAGCCAGAGGTTGAATCGTCCATTCCATTGGTAGAGTAGTGAAAAAGTACAAATGCCGTACACCCACACAAAGACAGACCAAACATGGCACCAGGTTTTTGCAAAGCATAAACGGGCGGCATTAAAAATAGAACAGCCAAACCAAGAGAAAAACCCCAGATGAAGTCAAGCAGTAACCTTTGAGTAACCTTGAAACCCTTTATGAGCTTTCTCCAAAGCTTCAAGGAAGTTCAAATCGACAGGCCCAGATTTCAAATTAAGTGAATTTGTGAGTAAAATGTCATAACTTTTTTATTTGGCGACGTAAGGTAAATAGGTACCTTGTCTCAATAAAGGGTGGGAAACACTCACAGAGTAGATGATCCAAATAGCACCCGGAATGTTGTTTAGTGCATCTTTTGATTGGCACTAGATTTCCCCGATTAAGAGAAACACTTAAATGCCCACAGAAACTCCCGGCGGCGTGTTCTTGCTTCTCTGTAATTTACTTACTAACTTGGTTGAGGCGAGAAAGCGATTTAGAGAGAGATAAAGCCTGAAGTAGAGAACGGCCACTGCTGCTGAATGCGCCATCTATACAGAGTTCACAGAGTAACGGTGTTGTCTTACAAAAATGTGAACACTCAACACATACAGTGATATAAAATGCCTACACACCTTTGTTTAAAATGGTAGTTCTTTTTTTTTTTTTTCATACTGTGTAAAAAAAAAAATGACACCAAGATGAATTTCCCACTGGGCCATAACATACTTTCTCACGTGCTTTTGGGAGATTTGTTTTATGGTCCGATAAAACTGAGGTTGAACTTTTTGGCCATAATTCCAAGTGGTAGGTTTTGCTCAAGCACAACACTGGTCACTTACCAAAAGAACACCATAACTACATTGAAGAATATTGGTGGCAGTATCATGCTTTGGGGCTGTTTTTCCTTCAGTTTAAACCTGGGGCTTTAAACAAGGTGGACGGAATTATGAAATAGTCCGGAAAGTCAGAAAAAAGCCTATTAGAACTCCTGAACTTCATTCAGGGTTCATAAGGGGCACTTTAAATGGTTGCAGGTTTGTGCTGACTCACATTTAACCCAGGTTTGAATGTGCGCGGATAATTCTAAACACAGCCTCATCCCAGCTATAAGAGGGTGTGCACACTTGAGCAACCAAAAATATTTATCCATCCATTTTCCAATCTGCTTTATCCTCACTAGGGTCGCGGGGGGCGCTGGAGCCTATCCCAGCTGTCTTCGGGCAGTAGACGGGGGACACCCTGAACCGGTTGCCAGCCAATTGGAGGGTACTCGGAGACAAACAAGCATCCGTGCTCACACTCACACCTAGGGACAATTTAGAGTGTTCAATCAGCCTGCCATGCATGTTTTTGGAATGTGGGAGGAAACCGGAGTACCCGGAGAAAACCCACGCAGGCCCGGGGAGAACATGCAAACTCCACACAGGAAGGCCAGAGCCGGATCGAACCCACGACCTCTGCTCTGTGAGGTCGACGCGCTAACCACACGAACACCGAGCCGCCAAAATGTTTAATTTTTTAAATTTTTACTTCCTTTTTCTGAAGATTAAAAATCAATCGACTTGAACAGGTTACATTTCACCGTTATGGTGGAAATGTTTTTGTAATGTTTTATCTTTCTCCTTTGTTTTAGATGACAAAAACCTGGCAGTTAAACAGTGGTGCTTACATTATTTTTAATCAACCGTATCAGCTTTTTATGACAGATATCCGGCCGATTTGTTTGTCTTCAGCCGGCCACAGAACAGAGAGTTCAGAGTCCACTCACCTTCTGCCAGGTCAGTGATGGTTGCATCTCTGTTTAGCAAAGGGCGCGAGGGCCTCGCCTTGGGGGAGGAGTAGGAGTACGAGCGCAGTCGAACCTCGCCTTCCTCTGGGTTCTGGGTAAGAGCAGGGACAGAGCAGAGGGCAGTAAGCAAACAGCTTGAGAACAGAATATTTTCCAATCATGCTAGAAAAAAAAAAAGAAAATCAATCAATGTGTCTGATTTTTTCTCACAGCATTGAGCTGTTGATGACGTTAACACATCTGCATATTGGTATTTTAAAACCACGCTCCAAAAAAGTGATCCAACCCTTATTAAAATGTCGTACTCTGTGTCCCGAGAGACAGTTCACTTTATTTGGGTAAACAATCGGGGTTATGTAAAAGCAGAGCCTATTTATCATATAATAGACCAGAGGTGACACAATCAGGTAGATATTTGGAGAAATTAAGCATGCAGTACAATACCTTAGAGAGCTTTTGGGTGCTGTCCGAGTGAGATCTGTTAAAGTCTGGCGAGCTGCACTGCAGCTTTAAGGCTGAGCAGGGGTAGGAGTGTCCCAGGATGTCCTCTTCTCCACTGTCACACTCAAGACTGGGACTATTGACACATATGCCATTCGCTGATTCTTTACCATGTCGAAAATACAGTTTGTTCCGAGACGCTGCATCACTTGTCAGCTCAAGAACATTACATTCTAAAATACTGAAGTAGAATGCTTAAAGAAATTACACTCGGAAAGCAATCTCAAATTTATGCCAGCGCAGCCCGAAATGTTACCAAAATTCTCTTTTTATTGTATGATGGTTGATGCACGAGCGTGTTGATGCTCTTTACCCGAAATGGCCTTTTCCATGCTAAAATTCGATTACTGTTATGATATATGATTTTCACAACTGAAAAGCACATTAAAAAAAAAAAAAAAAGAGGTTATGTTATGCTTGATTAATTTACTTCCTCCTTGACTCATATTTGGGTATGAGAATACAGCGGGAAATATTTCCTTGTTCAATAACCATTCACGTTGAAAGAGTCTGACAGTTGACATTTCCTGAAGCATTCAAATATGCAATACAAATTAAAAATCTGTAGTAGTTGCTCTAGATTACGGAGAAAGTAGTCAATCTTCAATCCTCCAAGAAATTATGAATTCATCTGCTGTAAATCAAAGGAGGATGAGCAGGCTCATGTTGAAATATCTTTTTTTTTTTTTACTTTTACGTTGAACATGTAATCGGGATATCCTTTTCATTTTCAAGCAAGAATGTTAAAAATCATCATCAGTGATGTCGTACCTCAGTCCGCGGTTCGCCGCTGGCAAGTTGCATCCTCTGCGGTTCAAAGTGGGAGAGACTGGAAGGTTGGATTGTGGCTGTCGCCTCTGAACTCCTTCAAACAAACGGAAGGCGGAAGCCAGGGGGGAGGACGGGAACGATGGGGGGGAAGCAAAAGGAGAAGAGGGAGAGGGAGGAGAGATGTGGAGAGGTGACTCTTTGCATTTCTCTGGGCCTGGGCTTCGGACAGCCCTCTCGCCATTTTGTGGCGTGGGTGGGTGGGGATTTTTCGGACAGGTCCTTGAATCAGGGGGTGTCATGGAGAAAGGCTCCCAGCAAAGGCTGCCAACATCAGGCGGCGGGCGAGAATGGTATTTCATATCATCATCGTCCACCTGGAAAAGAAAAATGTCGAAAAGTGTTCACACACATATGATCAGAGTGCAATATTTGAACCTTATACGATTCTTCACAAAGTTTGCGTTACTCCTTTTTTCAGTCAGTGTGGATTGGTTTTTGAGTTGTATGCATTTTTTTTTTTTGTCAAAAATGACTGAGTGCCACGTGGGAAAAGAAGAAACCATTAGATTTTCCAGAAAAAGTGCATTTGCTATACACACACTTTATCTTTGCAGCAGGCTCAAACTATAGAAAATGCCAACGTCCACACCCTCACTTTAACACCGGGAGCTCACAAACAAACACGAAACTGATTTTTTTTTTTTCTCAGCGCTTTTGATACAAACTAGAATGATGCAGAACATACACAGAATTTGCTCGAGCCAACGTAAATAAACAGGTTACAGTACAGTACATGCATTCATTGCCCTACTCACTTGCTGCACCACCATGGCGTTGGCATATACTCTGTCTTTCCCATGGATCATCGCTGACAGCCTGGCAGCAGCAGCCAGAGTCGGGGATGAGGTTTGGCTCTCGCCTATCGACTGGCTTTTTTCTGTTGGGAAGCGATTTTTCAATATTACATTTGGTTTCTACAGCAACAGAAAATAACCCCTCACAAACACAGGAAGTGACATAGACATCCTGGGTAGTTAAGCGAGCCAAGACTCCATATGAGTGTGTGTGTGTGTGTGTGTGTGTCTGTGTGTCTGTGTGTGTGTGTGTGTGTGTGTGTGTGTGTGTGTGTGTGTGTGTGTGTGTGCGTCTCTCAAAGGCCCTTTGCACACACACGTGAAAGGGTGTGTCAGGCGTTGTGCCAAGGCATCTGTATGCTTGTTTCTTCCCCCCACCCGAACCTTCAGTGTGGCAGTGGCGAGAAGATAACTTCCAGTGAGCACACAGTAGCACTGAGGGGGAACATATTCTACACAGTGGAGCCACTGTGAGAGGCAGCCAGGTTTAGCTTTGCAAAAACACGCCTGCTCTTAAAACACACATGCACTCTATCCAAAACTCAGCTTCGAAGCGCTGTTTCTGGGAACGAATCCAGGCGGTAGTTTTAGTATTAGCTTAGTATCTGGGGATGAAATAATGAAATTCAGCCTGACAGTCTTTGTTTTTAAGCCTGAGTGTCTGTCTTTTTTTTTTGAGTCCTCTATACATAAAGTTGAGTTGAACTGAATTTAGACACCTTAATGTACAATCAAGTACAGCGCAGGTCTAAGATGGTCACAAGGCCATATGATATGTTTTTTTTCTTTTCAGTAGTCTTTCTGAATAATCCTGAACTGAATCCTGAAAACACACACACACACACACACACACACACACACACACACACATGCACACACTGATATATTGTCGACCAAACTTGTCTGTACAAATTGGAGAATAAAATTGGTTGCAGAG